GCAAATAATTATCTTGCTCGATTTTAATAACGTGGCTTCCGTGCAGATAATTCGACGCATATATATTGCACAGCCATTACGTAACAAGTTTCTATTCTACGCTTTGTTCTGCAACAGTCGGCCGGTATTCACGCTAGCCGATATTATGTACACTCTACGCTCGATATTCGATGCATAATTCTATGCATTACGAACATACATATGTAAGCATAAACATCTAAAAGAGTTTCTAAAGTTTGTTCTTCTCACGATTGTTGCTTGGACAAAGCAAAAATGCTTGCATCCGTTTACGGCCTGAGAAAATCCGTTTAGATCAAAGATTTAAAATTTTTATTTTTGAAATATTTTTATTTGATTGGACAGGGCCGCTGTAAGCGCTTTCTTTAATGACACTCGCTAATATTACAAATACAAAGATAGAAGAAAATGTCTTTTACGCAATATTTTTGCACATGTGTGTGAAGTTAAAATTAAACATCACTTAAAATTAAAAATTAATTGAAAAAAGTATTTATTATATTTATATTACACATTACACATTATAAGCATTTAAGGCTAATACATATATACCTGAATATATGTTTAGATGATATGCATATCTACGTTTATCGGACCAAACTTATGTGTATGCAAAGTCGCTGGACGACAGTAAATAAACAACAGCAACAAAAACTATCTTAACATTAAGATTTATTAAATCAACCGGAAAAAACACTACAATTATATAACACAAAACCACCGATACACACACACACTACTAAAAAAAAAAAAAAAAAGAAAGCAACCAAGAGCTTAAAATTTAATCGACATCCTCGAAAATAAACAGAAAATATTTCCTTGTATAACGAAATTTTCAATGTCTCGCGGGAACTATAGTCTTGACTTTCTATTCTTTCATAGATGAATATAACGCACATTTTCGATTAAAGACATAATAACACACAAACACGCAAGTAAGATGTAAATATTTGAAAAAAGATCGGCTTCTTTCTATGTCCATTGAAAAAATCGGCCAAGTTGCTTAAAATATGCTTTGACCCCAGCCTTCTAAACAAGCTTTGAATAAATTGTTTACGCCCGAATTGAATATAATTCAGAGTCTTTCGTACATATGCATGCATTCATATACTTAAAAATATATGTACATAAATCTATACCTGATGTCTCCTATATACACGTTACACGTCAAAAGAAATGGGACGAGAGAGAGAGAAAGAGAGATAGGATATCACCGCAGCCTAAAAATGATGTGCCCGTTCGCTATCCATTAGACGTTTACCGCCGAAACACTCAGCAGCAGTGTAGCTATGAGCGCCCATTAATCGTAATTAATTTATGGTCCGTAGCACGAAGCCACGAAAGTCAGGTACATTGGCTTTGACAGTCGCACCACTGCCTTATGGCAGCCCTTAACCACTTAAAACTTCAATCCTTTTCAATCTGGATGAAATAAAAAAAAAAAAAAAAAAAAATCCGGAAAGTCAAGTCTAGTCAATAGCGGGCCAAATTGATGAAAATGACTGTTGATATCGATGTGGTACGAATTCCATACATAATAATGAGCCTAATTTTGATAGGTATATATTTATAAAGGTAACTTGTATTGATAAACAATAGCAACGAGAACGAGGTAAGATCTCGGATCGTTAACAGTAACTAGGAGTAGTATAACCAAATAAAGTAAACGAAAACGTGACGCTCCTACGAAATGATCTTTTGTAGCATTTCTGTTTTCTATCTTAGTTTTTTACGCTACAACACATCTCCTTGGTACAAGCGTGCATTAAGTTTGTACGCATGTATGCAGCATTCAGAAAAGGCTCGCGATAAACTCATCTTTTATTATGCCAATCGATTCGGGCATCATTTTTTGAATCGATTTAAATTTGTTTGTCCGTCTGTCCATCTTATCTTCATCTGTCCAATCCGCAGGTCGCAATTTTTAAGATATGTTAATGAACCCCTTTTCCCATATACTGTCATTACTGCCATTACTGTCATTACATCAATAACTCTAGGATGGTGTAGGGTATTTTATGGAGGCCTATTATTATATAATGTTTTTATCTATTTGTGAACATAAAAATGACGGTAATGAATAAAGGACTAGAAACAAAGCCAGTAAACATCACGAGCTGATCATGAGCACGTATGCTTGTGTGCGTTGTAGACAACGCGTAAATTGCGCAAAATAAATTTAATGAAAAAAAGCTGCTGACCGATCATCTCCTTGGAATATATACATGTTTATTGGTATAAGTAAAAACTAACTTAAAACGTAACTAAAAAGAAATTATTAAAACTGCTTTGATAAATGCTTATGTTAAAAAAGTCAACATATTTTTAGTAACGATGGACGTGTCATTTATTTATTAGATCAGTACTCTTGTTTTTGCACAAAATTTGACATAATCCTGATATATCAGATGGCAATGCATATTTAAGAAACAATCACGACTACATTCACACTCGATTCTGTGCCCGGTTGCAGTTTCTGCTCGTAAACTTTGAATCCTTGACATTTTCAAAAAACGATTATGCACGTATAGATTCTCTATCCTACGTTACGTTATCGGCGATAGGCTTACAAATAAATCAATTTACGCATATTGTCTTTGCAAAATAAGTAAAATTTATTACTTCGTCTTAAGTATTATTTATATAATATTTTTGTTTTGAAAATAATACTCGAAAAATTAGCTGTTATTAGTTGTTATGTAAGCAAAGCGTTGTAAAATGTAAAACGGAAATAAACAACAACAGAAACAAATGTATTTTTAGCATAATTATTAAATTCGTTCATTCATTTATTTAATTCAGTGGCTAAATGAAAAATGTGTATTTAATATAATCGTTATATTAAATTTATTTTAATATTTTTAATAAAATTGTACTTTTGATTCCAATTTTTTGGTCTTTTTTAATGTTGCAATGAGTTATTTGACTATTTTTTCTACAAGCAATAAGAAGAAGAAACAATAAGAATGTACAGAGAATAGACATGGAGTGGCTTCTAATAAATATATAAGAAAAAGTGGCAACACATTCGTTATGAGCTCTGTTAAATGGCAAAGCAATGTAACTAATGGTGTTAAATGTCTTCCCAGTATAAAAGCTTTTTCTTTTCAAGAAACTTTGAAAAGCCATCCGTATTATTATTTATTAAACGATCTTTTTATAGGAAAAAAGCTACTACAGGTTATAAAAACCTGTATAACAGTCTAAGAGTTATTGTTAACGGAAGACAACAGTCTTATTATCAAAACAGAACAACAAATAATCGATTGGTCGAAATCAAATGGCTAGCTTTTCTTTACATAATTTTGATGATTTGAAAAATTAATAAAGCGAAAAATTTCTTCGAAAAATGACTTTTTTGAAGCAATGCACAATTAATAAAGTAAAAAAAAATTTTCCCCTGAAATATGAAACATATAATATTGTTTTCTTTTCATTAATACATCAGTGTTTTGCTTTTTAAGATAACACGGGCAAAATTTATTAGATTAGCAAAAATTTGCGTTCACGCAAACGCAACGCTGACTTTATGTTCGTTAAGGCTTTGCGCTTTACTAATAGTTTTAGTAGAGTATTATAAATATAAATAAAGAATTCAATATAAATGCAAGCCCATTACTATATAAAAAGTAAAAATAGGAATAGCCGCCTGAGTGGCCGAGTAGGCAAGAGTCTCGACTAGCAACTCAATGGTCGTGGGTTCAAATCTCAAGTGCGGTAGAGTTTTTAATAAAGCCGAAAGCCTTAGATGCTAGTGCTTTAAGACTTTAGTCTTAGAATTTATTCTCTGGCTAAGTTTATAATAATAATAATAATAATAATAATAAAAATAGGAATATTAATATAAAAACACTTGGGAACTTTGTTAGAAAAAAGTTGTTTTACTGCTTTTTCTACTTTTAATCCTAGAATGAGGGCCTAAATAAATTGTAATAATATTAATGCTAATTTTCATAATGTAATCAAATTTTATTGCATCATCAAAGACAATTCATCACTTTTATTGATTGGTACAGTGTTTGAAAATTATCTTTTAAAATAATACAACGCAATAATATAATTTAAAAATAACACCTATAAATAAATCATCTTTATACTTTGTTATTAATTTTTGCAAGAGAATGTACCATATTAACTAAAAAAAAAAAAAAAAATAAGGTAACTTTTGAATTTAAAGTAAATTATTTTTATATATATAGTTTTCTCTCTTTTGTTTTATTTATTTGCTACTCATCTTTCTGTATATTCAAGTTCAATTCCAATGCTTGATATGCGCGCACGATTTCCTTGTGTTTGCTCTTTGAATTGTCACAACCGTTACACGCTAAAAACTCCACGTAAACAAATAACGAGGTTACCAGAAACATCGAATTTTTCTAAAATATAGGTACGGTGAAGCGCGTTACAATTCTATGCATTGACTTCATTGTTACACGTTTTCTGCGAATTACGTTTTTATATTTGAATTGATTAATTCGCATACAAACCCAACACAAGAAGAGAAGATTGAGCATTGAGAAACTAAAAGCCAATTCCATACCGATATCTCCTAATTTTGCCTATAAAATTAATAAATATAATTAAAACTTAAATCCGCTATTGTGCCGCGGAAAGATCACGCATTAGAAAACGATGATATCAAACCAAAGACATTTCTTATTACTTCGGCAGATTCAACATTTAACGTCAACACGATTATTCATTAGCAGAAAGACTATCTTTCTAATATTAAATTGTTTTGCGTGTTGGATAATATATGTAGTGAATAAATATGAATATGAATATTTTCGCTATTTGGAAGTCCATCACGCAAGAGACAATATTATCTGAAACCTGATAGGCCGTTAGCAAAGAATCTCGAGTAGTAACTCAATGGTCGTGGGTTCGAATCTTTAGTGCGGTAAAATTTTTAATAAAGCCAATAGCTTTAGTTGCTTAGAATGCTTTAAGACTTTACGTCTTAGAATTTATTTCTATGGTTAAGTTAATAATAATAATAATTATCAGAGATAAAAAAATACATAGATGTTTCAACATTTTGTTTACAATTTGTATTGAGAGAATTTTAGGAACTCTTTGTGCATCTGTTATCAATAACAGTAAGAACGCTGTTAATTAGCAGCGATTTGCATGCTTGCCGATTCATTTTCATTATTTGTATGTGACATCGCATTTTTTCAAACGTTTGCAAAGCCAAAGTATATAAAATCTGTGGTCTTAAATGAATATGGGTTATGGTATGTAATTAGATCTTTATCTATCAAAAATGACCAGAGAGCACGTATGTATGTTACATATATAATTTGTTTTCTTCTTCTCGTTTCATTTAAAAAAATTCAAGAAATCTAAATTTCATGTTCGCCCAAGTACGTTGACGAATTCGGATGAAACTTCTCATATCGAGAAATGAGAATTCAAGGGCAAGCATACAAGTGGCTACTAATTAACCGCATAGCTAATGTTACTGATAACAGTTATATAAAGAGTCCCTAGGATTCTCCTAATATCGATTTCGAACAAAATGTTGAAATATCTATATATTTGATTGTCTCTGATATTATACAATATTACCATATTTACCATATGTTTTGTTATTAAAGTTTATCGCAACAGTCTATGGAAGAAAACACAATGAAGCAGCGAAAAATGAAGCATTACCTTCGCATTCATTACTCACAATGTGTTCAACTTTCATTCATTCCTATGCCTGCCAATCAACCGTTGCCTTTTTGTGTTTTCCCTATGTGTGCTTATTACATAAACTTTAATTCCCATTTCGAAAAATGCAAATCGCAGCGAATAAATTTACAGAGTCGACAGGTGAGTCCTATAGTGTAAACGGTATGTTTTTTTAAGTCGTTCCGCATCATTGCAAAGCCTTGAGCCAAATAAAGGAAATATTGAAGAAAAAAAAACCAATTCATTAAAAGAGAAAGCGACTAGATCATAACGCCATAAAATATGGATACTGAGAACAAAAATAATATAATACTTTCCTCTTTGGTTGTCAATGGCCTTAAGCTTTTGTGTTCCACAATTCCTTTAGATTTAACGAGGAAACTTCTATTAAATTGTGTTAAATTAACTTTGCATCCCGACGCATGTACGTTAAGTAGTTACTTCACTCTTTGTTCATGTGTTGTCACTAAAGTATATTTTAGCTATTCCACCAGTACCTGAAATTTATTTCAAGAATAGCGAAGAGGCAAAACAGAGCGAATACGCTGTAATTACATTGTTTGCATTGGCTACAAAACATGCCTTAGATATGTTATCATTAAGACAGCTATTGGAAGATCAACAACTGAGTCAAGTTATCATTGATGAACTTGTGCGAACGTATGAAGAACACCGTCAGGATTTTGTTCTGCGTCAGCTTAATTTAGGGCACTATTTACCGAATATTACTGATGTCCAATGGCGCATCATGGCCGATGTAAAGTCATCCACTTCAAGCCAAAGTTCTGGAGAAGTTGGCTTCCATATCAATTTGGGTTGCTATCATCCACATAGCGGGGACAGAGAATCAATTGTAGAATTTGTTTGTAACACAGAGGAAATACATCTTCTAATTAATAAACTTAAAGATGTCGAAAGACAATGCGAAAAGCTAGCAAAGGAATAGAACATCATTGTATTACATAAATAATTACATGAAAACAATTTTTAAGAAATCTAAAATATTCTATAAAGCTTCAATTAAACAAATATCAACAATAAACAACGTTTATCATTTATGGCTACTAGATTTGGGAATCGATGATGGATCGTAGTTGAAAGTAGTCTGTAGGAGCATTTGTATATATAGTGCCGGAAAATGCTTGTTCAGCACTATCAGGACTTATAATAACACAGTCATTTACTTTGAAAATCTTCATGTTTAACCCACGAAAACGATCATCGACTTTGTAGAGATTTTTACCATTAGCCCAAGAATAAAATGGTTTACCGCTAAAGGGATTCATAAAATCAGCCCAATAACCATGTAAACGTAAACGTGTAGTGATTTCACGAGCAGCCAATACAAACTAAAAGGAACTTAAAATTTATATATTGCATAAAGGAGAAGTCTACGTGCCCTTACTTTTCTAGCACCTTGTTCGGTATCTCCACTAAAGCTTAGCGTCATTAAGGCAATTTTCTCGCTTGACATTACCTCCGGTGTGGGAAATAATTCATGAAGAGATTTTTTGATTAACGACGGGCATTCGTTAACCGAAAATTGAAGCATGGCAGTTTCTGTCGAAGCCTTAAAAGCAGACTTAGGTTATGCAATGCCAAAAAGAAATTGACAATTCATTTGGTACCTTTCCTTCAAAGTCAACTATTGATTCCAATGGGGCTTCTAGTGTTATAGTACTGGTAGCTCCTTGCCAAGCAGGACCAATTGCATTTGGAAAATAAAAACGATTACCACGAGGAGATAATAACTCCCAGTTCGGACCACATTCAACTCCCAAGAAATCTTCAGTATCTTTATTATAACGAACAAGCGAATCTTAATCATTACGCATATAAATAAGTCTTCTCCTTACCTTCTACCCGCATTTTTGACTTAACAATCTTGAAAATGAGATCAAAATTTTTGGAATCACTACGTCTGGAGTAATTCACGACAGTAATCTTATTTAAGAGAATTGATGTTTGCTTATAAGATACGCAGACGCATCCGTATAAACGACAACATCCGTGCCCACGACTAAGACTCCTCAACAACGTATTTGACATGCCTCAAATAGTTTTTTCCATCCACCAGAGTGTATTTCTCTACTAAGAAATCTTTTTCGCTTTATTTTTAATGTTAATTTTAGTGGATTTACGAACACAAATTTTTTTTTACAAAATACACAAAATTATTTTAACTAATAATATATAATTGTTTACCAAACGTCGTTATTTTATTTTATTTGGTTTTTGTCTTTTTTTTTCGTTAATGCCAAGAAAAAAATATAAGCAACTGATTGACTTTAAAATCAAAATCATTGTCAAATGTGCTAAACTATCTTGATTGGCTTTGAAATGCAAGCAGTAGGACCAGCTGTTCTTTGTTTACATTTGCGTTTATATTATGTCGTAAACAAGTTTTTCGTTTTCGTAGATTGTAAGGGGAGCTTCATGTCGGATTTTTTGTCCGGAGACAGTGATTTATCTGCAATTAGAAACATTTACTAAGAAACAGCGTATTGAGGACGTATGACACCCAATGTATATACGTGAAGTTAAATTTATTGACAAACACAATCGATAAAATAATTCGCGGTGTTTTAATTTTGTCATAGAAAACCTACAACAAACTACGACTTGGAAATTTAAATTAAATCGAAACAATTTTACTAAAGGAAATTTTTGCTATTCACGTTGCGCCGTCTTCTGTGAGATATATTTAAGCGATTATAGCATTTTACGAATATAAAGTCTTGCCTATGCATTTACGCTCTTTAGTCCAACGTGGATTCATCTTAAGTCCTTCAACCCTCGCAATCACGCTACTGAAAAGTATTATTAATTGATCTGTTTCTTTTAAACTAAACTATCGTGAATGATTCCTGTCACGTCTGCATCATAGGAGAATAACCGCAAATTTTACCTGAGATATTGTGCGAAAATTTTTGATCGCGAAAAGTTTTGCGATTACTAAAGACATTAATAAAGGAGCCAATACCGTGGCAATATACCGAAATAGAAAAGATCAGAAATTGATTGAAGCATCCCAATGGGCAGTACTCGCTTTAAAGAAGAAACAGTAATCAACAATGTCTCTGGACAAAACCATCTAATAAACCTACCCATCACAGAAGATCCTATTATAATAATCATTACAATTACCTCAGTTTATGTAATACATAAATTGAATACTTGTTTTCAAAATTATGCAGCAAAAAACTAGTTGCTAGTAATGCATAAAATATTGTAAGTAGGATAAAAAGCATAAAAAAAGTCTATATGATCTTAAAAGAGCATGCAAAGAATAGAAGAAATAATAACAACTATTGATAGAATCATTTCCAAAGCAAGAAAACAAAACAACAGAGGGTATAAGAACTAAAGAAGCAAAATTAAAGGAAACAAAATGTGTGATTAGGAAAGTAGAAATATTAAAGAGTATTACAACCACCGAACTGTTAGAGAAATTAAAAATGGCCAAAAGACAAAAGATGAACTCTTTTCTTTAACTCGAAGAACTCACGGAAAAGAAGAGAAGCTTCGTTTTTTTCCTCTGCCTGTAGCTACAATTCCCTACGTTTTTGGGAGATAGTGATTTTATTACCCTCGCAGCAAACAGTTTACACGTAACCGGATACATTTATTGTTTTGCTGCCTAGTTCCTACAATCTCTCCACATCTATTATCTTTATCTAGCATTATTGTGAGTAGACTTTCGAGCTGCCAGTGCCAGAGTAGATCCCCTCAATTTTTATGCGATTGCTATAAAATTTTAATTACCATCAAAATTCGATGATGTAGTGGGCATCGAGGGATTTCCTCGCGAAATCAAAATTTACTAATTTTGCCATTTGAGTTGGCCTTATATTACCTTTTTTCCGCAATCCAAAGCTTTTAATTGGTGATTTATCGGGACATCTAACCAAATCATTGTCCTTTGATCATGCTATCTATCAAGTAACTAGCATTAGAATTAGCAACGTTTCGCATATAGATGTGTCTACCAAACGCGATTGTTTCGATCCCCACTTTTATCGCTTTGCAAAAATGATGATAGCATATCAACGCGGAAATTTCAAAATTTAATTTTTGGCATTTCAAATGCGATAGGGTTTACTTTGGTCGTAATTACAGCGAGTGCTCAGTTGGTCAAGGCATAATACTTACCCATTAGGCTTACAACGTTTTAATAGTTACGGTCACTTCCGCTATCCCTTCCTCTTTCTTCACTTCTCTTAAATCAAGTTACAAATATTTTGCTAGATCATCTGAAAAGTAAAAATGTTTATTGACGCGTTTCACTGACGCACTCACTATTAAGAAATTTACAGTTTTTATTCATAAATTAGGCATTTAGTGGGTATCAAATATCCTGAAAGTGAATTCCCTGAAGTTAGCTGCAAAGGAAAACTTATTTCGGGCACTCGCTTATTGGAATGCATTTTCCATTCACATTACGAGCGTAATCCTTATTACAATAGCAACCGTCCGGACAACGTATGTAACGTATTAGACATGGCTCATTTAAAGTGGAACACTCTCTCTGACAATTATCACCGCATTCTGTATAGAATTCGTTGGCTGGACAGGTTTTCATTGCTAAAAATGTCAAAAAAATGCATTTTAAGTATATTTAAGCATATAGAAATATATTATATGTATAATAATCACCTTTCCCCCTGATTACTATCGAAGATAATGATAAGGCTAGTAGTAGTAAAGCAAGGCTAAGATTCATATTTGATTCTTATTAAAATTGTAATTTACACGAAAGCTTACTTCAGTTATTCAATTCGTCTCAGTTATGAACTGCAACTAGTTTTTGTTTCAGTTTTTTATATATAAGCAAATTAGAACATTATACCCGGGCAAGGCCGACATTTAGATATCCTACATTTAGATACGCTTCATCTAATACAGTCATTCAGTTATGTGGGTGACGATTCAAAACATTGTCTCACCTAATCCACATTTTTGACAACAATTTAGAATGCCGAAATATTATTACTCAACGATTGTTGTCGAAGAGTTTTAAAAATTTTGCATTTTTTTTCATATAATGAGTTTTCCGCATAAAGCGTGATATGAGGACCGACGGAAAACGTGGTTCGGTCAAATCAGAATATATTAGTGTACGAAATTTCATCGAAATATCTTAAAAATAACGCGCTCTAGGCTGAACGCAAGGGTCTTCGGACAAAATTATACAGACAGATAAGCTTAGATCGATTCGGAAAATGATGTTAAACCGATCCGTATAACAAAAAGTGGACCTATGTTAAGTTCTCTTGGATTTTGCATATAGCTGCATAAACTTAATATACCATTGTACCACAAGTGTAAAAAACATTTTGTTAAGAAAAAGATACGAAAATCTTTAAGTGAATTACATATGTTCATCTCTGCTGCAAATCATAGCTACTCGGCGTTTTTAGCGAATTTAAAATATTATCCGATATTTTTCAAACCTCGAAGTATTAGTCGGCCAATAAGCGAAATATTTCGCAAAACTTTTGAGTGGATCTTATTAATTACATAACGAAACTAACGTAAGCCAGCCGACATGTTGACTCATCTATACAGTCAGTCTCCGCTAATGTTCCTCGTATCATAAATTTTTTGAAAACAGTTATTGAAACACATCTACTTTTTTTACTACAGTCAAAATTCTATCCTCGCACAGACTCGTGCATTCGATTTCCAAATCTACACACAATCTGCTGCTTTCATATATGGAGTATTTCCATGTAACAACAGTTAACAAATTTATATGAGCGGAATACCATTTGTCTGTATGTTTGTCGATTAAATTCGACTGTATCTTCTCACACTTGGCTTATTATTATTAGTTTTACTGAAAAATGGAAATTCCCTAGAGAATTAACAAACAGCATCTGAAACTTCATATACAAGATAAGCAATACAAACGCTTACCTTACATCGTTAATATTAACCATGACGTCATAGATTAGGTAAAAAAAAAAAAAAAAACTATTAATAACAAATATCAGGAAGTAATAATTTGAGTTACAAGCCGGTGAAGGGGGGTTGGGGCGTCATTCAATTATAAAAATTTTACACATTTCTAATGGATACTTGCCTTAGTTCATGTGTTAGAAGCGAAAAACTTTGGAAATTTGCTGCGTTATTTTCTGGAAACCGTTTTCTTTTTGCTATGTATGTAAATTTATGTCATTTCAAAAGATCTTCCTATATGTGGTAGCTGTGGAAAAGACTAAGCTTTTATGCTCCTTTTCGTCCTCACGATAAGTTTATCCAATGAATGAGGAAAATGCTGATCAAAAAATGTAAGAGATTTTAGCAAAAGCTATAATAATATAGGAAAGAATTTCAGATGGTCGGCAATCCTTGTGCTATACAACGAAATCTGTTTCATTGCCGAGTTCCTTTGCTTTGTAGCTTTGGAGCGTCTTCGTAGAACTTTTAGAGCAGCTAATACTGACCTGGTATATGGTGCCTTTGCTTGTTCCATAAATTCATTCAATGACTTCTTAACGCGATATATCTAGTACGTTACATAAAATTATTTCTATACGATTATCTGAATATGGCAAAGACCCAAAGTATGCTGGTTGATTAACTTTTAATTAGAAACTTTGTAATTGAATTTCAATCTCAAAAAGTCTTCTACTTGATTTAAGTTTGAACAATTTATATAATACACACTATATGTCGAAATAATCATTCATTTACATATTCCCGGCACCAATCGCCCTTTATGGATTGTAAGTCCATTTAAAATTGATAGAATTATATTATCAGAAGACAAATTGATCTTTTATGCTTTCTCAATAAACATAAGAATTAGTTATATACATTTTAGCTTCTTTATCCTTTCATAATTCTTTCGAGATTGTCATAATTGAAATGCAAGCATGCTGGAAAATCAAAATTAATAGCGTCCGTGTGTTGTAATTTATGAGTAACAACCAAAAAAAAAAAAAAAAACCGGAAGCAAAGTTGCTCACAGTTTTTGTTTTATAGACGTATGGGCGTTGTAGTCGTGTCCCTCCGACCGATTTCAGTGATTTTTCAAATTCTTTTGCAAATTTGTGGATGATATCTGCATTTGTACGAATGGGGTTAACACAGACACTACACAGTTGGGCAGACGGACGGATAAACAGACGATTAGAGGGGCATTCTTAGATGCGTGTCGAATCTGAAACTTGTCAAGAATTTGTATGGAGTATGAAGTTTTCGATGCTTGCTTCTGCGCGTAGTAAAGGTATTGCAAAAAAAAAATTATTTTTGATACGCTATAATATTGGGTAGACAAGGTCAATTTTTTCCACTTTTGTATAGGTAGTAAGGCTTGGCCAATAAAATATATATTTAAATTTTTATAGATTTAAAAACTCAATTTTTTATTCATTTTGAAAAACAGAGTTGTTCTTAGTTGACGTGGTACTGTGGGCGTGTCTTGTGACCGATGTAGCTCATTTTCAATGCCAATGTGCTTTTCATTTCAAAATTCTAAAGACTGCTTAAACTTAATGAAACACATCATTCAGTTTCGTTGCAATATTCAGCAAAAACTCACGCCCAAAACCAAGATAATAGTATAAACTTAAAAAAATTAATTGACCTGAATGCTTTTTTTTGTTAAAAATACCCAAACGCTCGAAATTAGTACCAAGGAGGTAAGATAATTGTTGAATGCATTACTTCGTTGTATGAATGTTAAATCAGAATTCAAAAGATATACACAAAAAGCGACGGATTATGCGTAAAACAATTTACTATTCCTTGTTTACGCTATCTAAGATGTTCTCTTCAAGTAGCTTTTATTTTCATAACAACGACAGGCACAATGGAAACTAGAATAAATAACAGTTACAATTAATGCATTTTTATCAATAGATACGTGTGTAGGAATATGATAGCAAAAAAGGAAGGCAAAGCGGTTCCTTATACTACCAATCTGGTTTTAGGTGTAAAAACAAAGGCCCAAATACCCAATATTCTATATTGTCAATGCATTCGTGATGATTATCTAAAGATATTATCCCTTCGTGATTCGCTTAAAGCAAAAAGAAGAATAAAACAGCTGTTGTGTAAAAAATTGTTAATTGTTATTGTTATTCGGGTAAATATTTCAGTTTTTAGCAAATAAAATAAAGAAAAGAGAATTAGTTTAAAAGCATTGAAATGCATTAAAATTGCTAAAAGTTGGAATTTAAATGCATATACCACTAACTAAATTAACTAAAATATGTGAAATTCCAACTTTTATAGTAAGAAAATTCTAAAGTTACCAAGTGTTTGTAAAAGTGCGTTCGCAAAAATAGAGTTTTGATTCAGCTCAATTTATGAAACCAAACCATAACATTATATATGTCTTTCAAATTATATTTCTACGCGCATAGATTTAGCATATATATAAGTCTATGTAATTATTTAAAAAAATTTCAAGCCCAGACTTATTTACAATAATAAATCGGTAATACTTACACAGTTGCTTTCTTTTTTTAAGGCGAATAGAAGATTGAGACTTACTTTTGCCTGCAATTTTACTAGAATTGGAAGTCTAACTTCTACATAAGCCCTTTTTGATATTACGGAAACATGTTTCGTACGAGTCAAATTTCGTTTCACATTGTCAAATGTGTGCGTTTGACCGGCCAACAGCAACAATTAGTTTTATATTGCAGTCAACCGGCAGCACAGGCAAGGCTAAACAATAATCCTTCAGGATTAACTGATGAAATAATACGAGTCGATCATGCTGGTGAGTTGGGAGCTGATCGGATATATGCGGGGCAAATGGCTGTGCTTGGCAATGGACCGATGGGCAAAACTATAGCTCACATGTGGGATCAAGAGAAAGAGCATCGGAGACAATTTGAAGAGTTGATACGAAAATATCGCGTCAGACCTACAGTAATGACACCTATATGGAATTTGGCTGGTTTTGCATTAGGAGCGGGTAAGTAATAAATGGAGCAAAATTGAAATGTTTATTAATAATAATATCTACAGGAACTGCTTTGTTGGGAGAAAAGGCTGCTATGGCTTGCACAGTAGCAGTGGAAACGGTAATTGTCGAACACTATAATGATCAATTACGACAAATAATGGAATCGCCTAATCCTGATCAGGTATATATGAAGTTTTTTTCTTTTTAAAGAAAAGGAATACAGTGCTATTTTATTGATTTTCAGGAGTTACTAGAAACTATTACAAAATTTCGTGATGAAGAGCAAGAGCATCATGATATTGGTATAGATTGTGGAGCCGAAGAAGCTCCGTTTTATAAAGCCTTGACGGAAGTTATAAAATTGGGGTGTAAAACAGCAATTGCAATATCAAAAAAAATCTGAAATGTATTTACATATATCTTTTATAAAAAAGTTTAAATAATTCATAAATAAATGTACTGTATTCGAAATTGAAATGTGGCAACTCATGTTTTTTTAAAATCAAAGCAAGCTTGCTGAAGTTTCCTATAAATCGATTACATAGTAACTCTGCATTCAATGTGTTATAAGTTACAGCTGTTATTTGCAAGAAGCTTTTGCAAAAGCCGCATATCGTTTGTTTTCTATGTAGAGTTTGAATAGTAACAAAATAAATATGAATAATAAACAGCAACGTTACGAAAAGATCGCTTTCCTTGGTGAAGGTCAAGTAAGTAGTTAATTTTTTGAATATAAAAAGCGAAATTATTTTGTATTTTAAATCATTTCTTTAGTTTGCTACGGTTTACAAAGCCCGTGATGTACTCACCGAGCAAATAGTAGCCGTTAAAAAAATAAAAATTGGCAGCCGCGAAGAGGCTCAAGATGGCATTAATCGTACTGCTTTGCGAGAAATCAAATTGCTGCATGAATTGCAACATGAAAATGTTATTGGTCTTGTGGATGTATTTGGTCATAAATCAAATGTATCGCTGGTATTCGATTTCATGGACACTGATTTGGAAATTATTATAAAAGATCCGAAAATCATTTTAACGCAAGCCGACATAAAAGCCTACATGATAATGACACTAAAAGGATTAGAATATTTACACATGAACTGGATTTTACATCGAGACTTAAAACCGAACAATTTATTAGTGAATTCTGATGGCATTTTAAGAATTGGTGATTTCGGCTTGGCGAAATTTTTCGGTTCACCCTCACGCATTTACACTCATCAAGTGGTAACGCGATGGTATCGGGCACCTGAACTATTGTTTGGCGCCCGTCAATATGGAACTGGCATAGACATTTGGGCAGTGGGTTGTATATTAGCCGAACTTTTACTGCGAGTGCCCTTCTTACCTGGCGAATCCGATTTAGATCAATTGACGAAAATATTTCAAGCGCTGGGAACACCGACAGAAGATATATGGCCAAATTTTAGCAAATTACCCGACTTTATGCAATTTAAACAATTCCCCGGTGCACCATTACATCAATATTTTACAGCGGCGCCTGACGATCTATTGGCTCTAGGTGAAAGACTGTTAGCATTAAATCCAGCCCAACGGTGCTCCTGCACAGAAGCCTTAACAATGAAATATTTCTCTAATAAACCAGCTCCGTCGCTCGGTCATAAGCTACCGATGCCGAATACCAATAAACAAAATGTAGATGAAAAACCTGTTCTTAAACGGAAACTCTTAGAGGCTATGGAAAGCGGAAAAATGCCTAAAAAGTTGGTTTTTTAGCTAATCGTTACCTTTCGTGAATTTAATAAATCTCAATTTCATAATAAATAATTGTTCCATTATATTTGAATGCGTTCTTTGTTTAATATTAAAAAAATAAATGTCTCTCAAAGGCGAAGACTTGGAAAAGATCTATTTTTTTTTTTTTTTTTTTTGGTATGTTGAATGGAGATGAACTAAGCCAATAGATTTGTGGCTTATATGTTCAGATAATAAACTGTCATAATATTTGGTCACAATTATGTGCAAAACGTAACAAAAAAAACAGCGGCCTTAATAACTGGAGCCAGCATGTTAAGTGTAATTGTGTATGTGTGTGTAATTGTGCTTGTTGAGTTCTTGAAAGTTAAACAGAAAAATGTGGAACGCTTCACGATTTTGCGTGTCATCCTTGCGCAGGGACCATGCTAATCTTCTCTGTATCGTTCCAATTTTAGTATATGTTCTGCCGTAGCAAGAACAAAAAGATCTATTAAATTAAATTGAAATTAAAAATATGAATTGATTTATGCTGAATGACTAAAATTGTGAACTGTAGACTATATTTTTTTGAGTTACCTTGAAAGGCTCTTTTTGTGAGAAGGCTAGAAAACTTGTCACCTATCTGCCAAGTAATCAAGTTTGTGTAAATTTAAAAAATGTTGAATATATTCCTTCAAGAGTAACTTAAACGATCATTGATTTAAATTTGATCATTCATTGCGTTGCATGTATGATAGTACAATAAGGAAAAATATGGACAATTTTCGCCAACCTTTACGTGTTGGAAAACGTGCAAAGTGGGCGAAGTTCGCAATTAATGCATCTTTTATGTGAACAATTTTCTATGAGTGCATTCCTAATAGTACTCCATCTAACGTTTAGATGAATGTCTTTGTGTGAGGGAAATACTTAGGATCGAAAGTAGAAAAGCTTTTCTCAAGCTTTAGTTAGAATTTTGAGTGAGCTACATTGTTTTACTGTTTGGTGATTTCAGTCAACACATTCACTTTTTTTTCTGTTTTTTTTTTTTTTTTGATCAGCCACTCAGGAGATGCCCCGTACACGTGCAGGCGCAACAGGAAGGCTTATAGGAAGAGTGGGAAGAAGAAAGAGAGTAGTGTTTGCGAACGTTCGCCGTGAAAATGAAGACATCAAGAAAGACCACTACTGGTGGGTTGTGGGCAGAATGGTTAAAAAACGACGAGTCGCGGTAGTGTGTTGTGCGATATACAGATAACTCCAGGGCCAGTGGGTGAGAACGATGAGAAAGAGATGAGAAAGTCCCCTTGAAGGATTTAAATGCTGAACATAACTCTTGTATTTCTGCAGATTGCTCGCCCTGAGTATATGTGTACATAAGCGCAGCACACTTTCGTCGCCCATGAGCCTTTGGCTTCTGGGCGGTCCCGCGCATAAATACGACGTATACTTTAATTTTGGCCGGATATAGGCGGTGTCAATGATAGGGATATCGGCTGCGATGAAGTCTTATTTGCATCACTCTAAAACATTTAGGCACTTGGCTCGCGACTTCGAATACACGTTCTGTTCAACAAACATCATTTTTTATTCTCATCCTTCAAACATCAAGGATTGCCGATTCTTCTAATTTGACATCGCCGAAAAAGAGGGGTGTTTCATAACTGTTCCAGTGTGTTAGGTAATGGAAATCTGTTAATTGCTCTCAAATGATCACTAATAATTTGAAATAGACGTTCATACGATTGTTTATTAATTTGGCCAATGCTTCACACCGAAGTGCTCAACTTTGGTTACTACATTAGCGATCCTAAGTTTTGCTATGCTACTTGCCATAAATATATGTAAAGTTCGTAATATGGAAAGAGAGAGAGAGAGAGAGATAGAGAGGGTGAAAAGAGGGGAGGGAGTTTGAAATCATTGTCATCAAACGGAATTAATTTCTTCCAGTCCAGAGATAATTGCGTACATAGGAAGGAGAAATTCGGTTTTATATTATATATGTATGTATTAGGAGGTTGGAGAAATGTTAGCCAGCGACTTCTACAGGAGAAAATGATCAACAAATGGGAAATACCAGCGTACATAACAAATGAATTTGATTGTTTCGACCTTCCTCTACATGAAATAACAGTTTCCCATCTAATAATATTGGTTTATACAGCGTATGCCGACATTCACCATGAATCCCCAAAATTGCATTTTCGCATACATTTTCGTCGTTGCTTAATTTGAAGAAATCTGCTGCCGAAGCCCATCAAACATGTTATGGTCACGCTCTTCGATCATATCCCAATTGTCAATTTTGCTTTCAGTGGTGAAAAGAATGAGTTTGAGGATTTATTGGACGTAAATCCACCTCAAATTCTCAAAGAACCCTCTCGAACAGCTTAGCAATTGATGAATTCACTATTTCTAGACGTTCACATGCGATGGGAGAAATCCATACTAAAAATGGGGTAAAATGGCTATCTCGCATATTGACTGAAAATGCCATTTTGACCGCTTGTTGCAGTAGTTGCTCAAGGACACACTGTTGCAGTTCGAATAGGACGTTCTGCTACCCACGGCGCACTCATTACCACTTGTTCAGATCAGTGCCAGATGGCTTGACTGACACACAAGTCCGTTAAGATGAAGAAGTGCGAAAATGGGTTGATGATTGGATCGCCGACCGATCCCTATAAATTCTGAGCAACGATATCGCCATGTTGCTAGAAATATGGTAAAATGCTGTAGAAAATGATGGGAAAATTTTGATTAATATATACTGCACCGATTTTTCTCAATAAATGCCTATTCCAGGTGAAAAAATGGTAAATTTGAGTTTAAGAAGTAAGTATATTTATTAACTACTAGTTACCAATAATTTATGCGTACACCTGGAGGCCTAGTCCATGCAAATAAGAAAAATCATGATTTTAAAATGTGTTTAAAATGATATGAATTAGTTAAAGGGTTTCTTGCGTGAAGCCCTTGTAACGAATGCTTAAAAGTCGGTGTGCTGATGGTAGCTAGCAATTGAAAAGTACCTTAACTGAAAAGCTCCTGGCAGCTTTTGTCGAGCAATTGTTTAAAAACGTTGATGAACTTTTTTAGAAAATTGAAAAGAGACTAACACTTTTCATCGTATCGTATCGTATCGTTACATAGGTAACAAAAACATTTTTTAATTATTTGCTTAAGGCCAGGTATAAAACCAAAGTCGCTTGCGTGTCATATAAATCAACAACAAAAACTTTAATCGATCGCATTTCCATCTGTGAGTTATTAATAGAGCAAAAGAAATCGAGCAAATTTTGAAGAGATTAAAATGAGCGATGTGAGAGGTGCGTAGCATTCGCGAAAGAAACCACGATTCAAGATTGATAAAGATGGGCAAAGGATGAAAAAGTCTGTTAAATAAAATATGAAGCTTTGGATTAACGTGGCCGTGGTCTTTTTAAAAATTTTTTTGCGGATACGGTAAGGTCACCTATAGAATTTACGAGGAAATATTTTTCGCTGTAGCAGTTGTAGTTTGCGGGGAACTAGCGTAAAACCCAATTTCCTGACCTTAAAAGACAAAACGGTTTATATCCAATGCTAACTTTTGGCTACATGATTACCGTTGCCGATTCATTTTCAGTACGAAGTTAATTTGAAAAATCTGATTTCAATGGGTTTGTCAAATTTAAAATTGATATCGTATTATCTTAATCTAGAACATAGACAACACGAATAGGCATTGATCAAGATTACACGTAGGTTATAAAAGATCTCTGAGTGCTGGCTCAGGGTGTTACAAAGGGACGGACGGACGGACGGATATGCCTAGAGCAATTCAGAATTTGGCGCTAATCAACGTTATACATACGTAATAAAATCTCGAAATACTCTCTCTCTCTCTCTCTCTCTCTCTCTCTCTCTCTGGGTATTATAGACGGACGGAGGGACGAATATGTCTAGAGCAATTGGTTAACTGATTAACGTTTTACATAAGTAATAAAATCTCTAAATACTATCTTTTTCTGGGTGCTATAAACGGACGGACGGACGGACGGATATGCCTAGAGCAATTGAGAATTTGGCGCTGATTAACCTTATTCATACGTAATAAATTCGTTAAATACTCTCTCTCTCTCTCTCTCTGGGTGTTATAAACGAACGGACGGATGCCTATAACATTTTAGAATTTGACACTTGTTAAGATCATAAATACGTTATAAGGTCTTTGAATCCACCCTCTGGACGTTGTAAACGGCCGGAAGGACAGATAAGCCTAGAGCAATTCAAAATTTGGCACTTATCACGATTATACATAGGTTAGAAAAGGTCTCTAAATTCCATTTGCGTTATATTTTTCACTATTATTTGTCGATTATATGCGTATATGAACGGCATAGAGTAAAGACATAATGCATTTTTCGTGCATTATTTTACTTTGGTTTTTCAAAGTATAATTTATTTTTTATAATATATTTAATGGATTAAAATGTGTAAGCGCGAAATAAATTCTTAAGTGAATTCTAATAGGAATTTTGCAGTATTCGCTGTTGTACTTTTCTGTTGCTTACTTAAGTTTGGGACCGGACTACTATTTCTCCATTTACCCAATATCCCTTTTGACATCAATTTTTTTACACGAATTTTTTCTGGTACCTATTCATCGTGTAAAAAGAGAATTAGGTGAAACTTTCATTGTTGGATATATATAAATAGCTGTGGACGTGATCTGTTCGCGATCACATAAAAGTCAAAAACTAATATTTATAATAGAAATCAGCGCCAATATTTGCAGCATATATTGAACATATTGAGGTAAAAATCGAAAGTATTCGTCGGCAAAAAGATCCAGTCATTTAGCTTATATTAGAGTAGCAATCTAGAAAGAAATATTTAACTAAAACTTCGTAGAAATATTTTTGTTCGTCAGACTTTAAAAATTCAGGAAAAACGTATCAAAGGTGCTCCTCGCCATGGGTAAGATAAAAAGACTGCATAGGTTTAAAACCACATTTTTCTCCATTTCTTGTTAATAGGTTTTGACTTGTGTCCATAATCATTTCCTTTCTCACTTTTGTTGAGAGCTGGCTCAGGGAATTCGTTAGCATAAGAGATTTCACATTTTCTGGTTATAAACGCCTGTGCGACATGTAGCCGCTTTTTATACCTTGCACTACCTGCAGTACAAAGCTATATTAAGTGTTGGCGGGTGTATGCGATAACCAGAAGGATCCGAGATGGATGTACTTTTATTGTACCGATCGATTCAAAATGACCTTTTACATCGATCTTAGCTTGTCGGTCTGTTTGTCCAATTTTCTTGTGTTCAACCTACAGACCGCAATTTTTGAGATATATTGATGAAATTGGGTATACGGACATGTTTTGGCCGAAGGACGACCGTCATTGGAAATGATTCGGATCGGAGCAACTTTTCGACCATTCCCCGTCATTCTGAAAAGTCATTATATGAATAATTGCAATAAACGAAATGGTATGGGTATTTCATGGTGGACCAGGGCCTACAATATAGGGTGTCCACTTGTTTCATTATTTAAGTAATCATCGAAAGCAGCATTTAATGCGGCATTGGATTATATTTCATTCTTAAGAGATAAAAAAGCAAAAAAAATTACAGTTAAATTCGCGTAAACTTTAGGATGGAGAGGCTTTTTAATAGTCAATATGAAGGAAATGTGTGGGTTTTCAAAGTAGAACTCAGTTCAACTCAGAACTCATCTAAAAACTCGAGAAGTAACTACTACTCATTTTTACTGCTTATTAAAGATGAAATTAGGTCGAATTAGGTCGATTCTCTGAGAAAGTAAATTTTTTCGGGGTTTTTCGGGGCTAACCTGATGCGAATTAACCTCCATTCCATTAGATTGAGAAGAAGAATTTAATAACCGGATGTCAAGTTGTAAATCAAATGTACGCTTCCTCTATAATCGTGCGCATTCTTAGGTCCAATGCACAGATGCGTGTGATGAAGTTTAGCTCAGCTTATAGATAGGTGCCGGCAAAAGAAACTCAATGCTAACGAGTTTCAGTTTTCTATTTTAAATTTGCCGATGATAGCGAACTCCGCCGCTTAAATAGTACTTCTGATCGAGGCATTAAGTTTCTAAACAGTAGTTTTGGGCCTTGCAAGACGACCGACAAATGTAATGACTGCCTATTCCACAATGTAATGCCAATAATAATAATAATAATAATAATAATAATAATGATGATGAGACTATTAACAGATTAACAGATGTCATGTCGTCTTTTGAAATTGAGCTGAGAAATTTAAGAGAAACCGAAATAGATTAAAACAAAATAATTAGACATTTTATACATTCTTTCCTTTTATTTTTCCGCTTCTTTTTTTAAGAGGTGATTTTCAGAAACTATAAATATAGAACCCAACTTAAACTTAAATCACATTTTTTCACTTAATCATAAACACCGAGACAAAGTAAAATAGTTGAACATCAAACACTTCAAAGGCTTCGCAACAAAATAAAAGATAGATAAGGAAAGAGTGTGAAAGAGTGTGAAAGAGAGTGAGAGAGAGAGTAAGAGAGAGAGAAAAAAAAAATAAAGAGATAAAAATACATACAAATACAAGTATTTTAGTTTAAGATGCAGGTAATCTAGGTATGCATGCATGTTTTTGTGTATTGTAGAGAAAAAGCCTACGAAAAGACATGAAATGTTTATATCTAACAATAATAATAATAATAGTTAAGAGGCTTATAGATGTTGTTCACGTGTATGTTTGTTTGTTGATGTTTGCGTCAAAGTTTTTTTTATAATTATTAACAAGAAAAAACAATGTATGCAAATATTTAATGTGTGTGTGTGTGTGTGTGTGTGTGTATGTATGTATGTGTATGTGTATATAATATATGTGTAATGTCTTCTTAAATCTATACAGTATACTCTATAATGTATATTTAATGTATAATGTGATTTAAATACATAAAAACATATAAATCCACATAAACACTGACTTAGTTGTTGCTGCTGTAGGTGATTTATTGATTAATAATAATAAAAATTTTGATGTATGTTTATGTTTACGTGTATGTGTATTTGGTATGTTTTCAATGTTTGTGTTTTGTTTTCTTGTTTTTTTTACTTCCTTTAATAAATAAATATATTAATAATAGAAAAAGTTATAAACTAGGAAATGTCCTTAAAAAAAACTTTGTTTTACTTTTTGATTTCTGTGTGTTTCTCATTTTTTGTTTTTTCTTTTTCCTTTTTTTTTTTTTTTCTTTTTTCATTAAAGCTATTTGATTCACTTTCTTTAAATTTTTTTTTTTTTTTTTTTTTTTTTTTTTTTTTTATTGAATACAAAAACTGATATTTATTATTACTTTTTTCTGTTTTTTTTCTTTTGTTCTGTTTTGTTTTGCTTTGTCTTGTTTTTGTGGAAAGTGTTTTCATCTATGTTTGTTTGTTTGTTTGTTTGTAGTCCTAAATAACTAAATAACTAAACGTAATTCAAGTCTAACATGTTTAGCGCTATATTTTCTAATGTCTTCTCTTTTCTGTTCAATTTTGTAACTTAAATATTTTTGGTTTTATTTTTAACATTGAAGTAGTTGTTGTTATTGTAGGGTTTCGATTGTTGGTATTATTTTGTGATTTTAAAGATTTATAGTGTCTAAGTCTTGGCATGGAGCGCGGGGACTTCTTTCTTCCTCGTCCGTTAAAGATTTCGCTTGATTAAGACCATCACCAGTGGCACCGTATTCTCCATCAGGCGAATTCTTATTATTATCACGTGTACTATTATTGTTATTGGTTTTGTTGTTATCAAGTGTTTGACCAACGGACGATGATGTTGTTGGCTTTTTACCGCCCAAACCCAAAGGGAAAGCAAAATCTTGTGGCAGTTTACGCATAATTTTACCAGATGTGATAAGACGACCGAAACCTTCCTATAGGATTAATAATTAAAATTGATAAAGAGATTTGCAAATGAATCGACATTTGAAAATTATTTATAAAATTGACCTGATGGGCAAAAGCGTAACCCGAACGTAATGATCTTCTCGAACGACGGGATGAAGGCGCTCTCATAACGCTACTGGTATGCCTTGATTTTAAACTGGCCAGACGTCTCTTCATGCGTATCTGAAAACGAATAGCATAGAATAGATTAGAAGAGTTCCAATGCCAAATAAAAAATGTGCTTGGAATACGGCATTCAATCCAATTGTTTAACTAATTTTCTTATTGAAAACATATTAACTTTTTCTCTTTATCGATTTAGAAACATTTTTTGAATTGCTCTAAGCTTGACTGTCATCCTATACGTCTTGTGTTCTTGTAATCAATTTGGCATGTCCACGTGTCTCCGTCCAAACGACAAGTACTTTCGAAAATGTTTCGGGTTGAACACCCGACTCTCGACAACTTCCCACCTAAAGTCATACTTACAAAAAATCCTTATATGAATACCATCTGTAGGATGACGTAGGGTATTTAATGATTGGCCATAACCTATTTATTTATAGTGCTGTTACTTGCTTTGTTATTACGTTCATAAAAGTCAAACCCGTAACCATTGCACTTCTCTCAGAGGTATGTGTACAAGTTTTCTTGATAAACACAAAGTCATTTTACGTAAAATCAAATTGAAAAAAAAAAATTCAATTCCCGACGTCAGACCTCACTGTTAACTGTAACTGTTTGAATCGACCGCACTTAATATCGAATTTTTCCCATTTCCATATTTGCACAGTTTGCTTCAGGCTTTCTACTTGTTATACCCGAACTATGACGTTAATCGAGCATCTTGGTACTCGTTACGTAAACTGGGGCCGGTTTATAGATGTCAATATCGAGCAAACTTGATCGTTATTTGACAATTGATCGTCTTCGACAGCAATTTCTCTATTCGTTCGATTACAGTCAACTAACTATTCGCTATAGTGACTCGATATCGGCCCCCGCCCGTTCTGCATCCTTTGTAGAGAAAATAAAAACTACACAAAATTTATGTTTAAGATTTGAGTAAGATTTGCGGCCCGAGAAATGACCAGGTAACATCTAATGTTACGTTAAAGGAAACGACTTGTCACCATCTTAGCCATGTTAACCAATATCTTACGAACTGCAAAAATACAAAAGTTTGATGTGTTTTTCCTGTCGTCTCAACAATTATAGAGCATACTCGTCCCCTCCAGTGTAAACCAATTCTTCCCAAAACTATAAGCAATGTTATCGCTATCCATGATCTTAGCTTGATAGATTTGATTTGTCTTGATTGCTAATCTCTCCCAATTGTTTGTTTTTTTTCTTCCTGGGATTATAGTAACATACTTGCTTCAATAAACATTTGATTTTTCAAGAGTTATGATCCTTTCTATTGAAATCTTGGGATATTTAAAATATTTGTTTGTTTTTTTTTTTTTCTCGCTTTTTAATTACAATCGGAATAAATGCCTTTTAAACTGTAATGTTTTGCAAACTTTTAATTGATAGGATGGCAAAAATTAGGAGCAATTACGGTGCCTGCAGAAAGGATATTAGCGTTCTTACTTTTACCTTATCAGCTAGACTCGGGTGTTTATCAATGAGATAGAATTTATAGGCCAACACTGGTATCATTATCACTACTACCGTTATAAACATGGTAGCCCAAAATGTGAGATCCTTCATAGCCATAGAAAGCGAGCCGACATAAGGCCCGCCTACTACATAATTATAGAAATAATCCAAAACGAAATACCAAATTAAACTTCCCCAAATGGTTATATGATTAAAAATTGTCCAATACGAGGTATATAAAGCTATCTAAAGGGAAGAAAGAAAAAAAAAAAATATATATATATACACAAAAAAAAAAAAAAAAAAAATTGTAGTTTTTCAGTGAAAGAAGTCTGCCTGTCTCACCTGTGCTGTATTATCAATAATTAGTATGGTGGCTACAACTGCCCCCAATGTCATGTGATCACTTAAAATTAAACCATTCGGCGAGACGCCTTTGTGATAAGTACCTAAAATATTTTAAAAGACAATTACCCATAATTAATTTATTTATATACTTTTAACATAATAAGTAAGATATAATTAACCCACCATAAGGTATTAAAAATAATATTAAAGAACTAAAAGCACCATGCAATACACTGTACACAAACTCTTTTATGTTGAATAATTGATTTTTTAAGCCAGGCGTATAGAGTTTAGGGAACTCCAAACTATGCTTGTCGGAGACATCTTGCTCGAAAACGCCCAGTGCCAAGACCGGCAAAGATGTGTAAAATAAATTATAAACCGAAATAAACATGGGATCAAAGACAGTCTGTTAAAAAATAAAAAAAAAATAAAAAAAAATATAAAAAAATATATATATATATATATATATATATATAAAAGATTTAAATTGAGTGAATATATTTTTAGTGAGAACGAAGAACTCACCTGTGCGCTAAAGCCACAAAACACTGAATACCAGCAATGACACAAAGTAAATGCAAAGTTTTTATAGAAAAAATAACGCAGGAATTTGCACATGCGATAGTAAGACCAACGACCATGCACCAATAGCAACCTTTCCAAATAACGAAATTGCGCTATCGAATAATCGCTTGCCAAGACCGCCTGCAAACCTTCCTGGCCGGATATGCCTACGCCAATATGGGCAGCTAAATATATATGGGTGTATAAGTAGATGATATATATATATATATATATATATATGCTAACCTTTTATCATAGAAACATCATTGGCACCATCACCTATAGCTAAGGTGACCGCATTCTTGGCACGTTTAATTAATTCCACAACCAAAGCCTTCTGCAGCGGCGTAACGCGACAACATATCACCGCTCTACACTGTGAAGCTATATCTAGAAACCTTTTAAAAAGTGAAAACAAAAAATTGTATATAATTTTAAAATAAATTTTAGTCATTTGATAATTATTAAATACCCCGACCAGTTTATATGATATAAAGAAAACGAATAAAAGTAATGCGTTTGGCCCTCTTGGCAATATCAGCATCAAAATTGTAAAACTAATTGTTCCCATTATAAGTTCACCTTTTTTACCCATGTTTTAACAACCTTTTCATTTTTTTTTTTTAAAAATGGAAAGAAGCGATAATTACTTCTGTCGGGGAAAGGTCATCGTCAGTTCCTCTTGACGATTTTCGTTCAATTAGTATCCTTCCTGTTCTATCGAAAATTATCGAACTGTTAATAACTGATTAGATTAGACCATATTTGTACAGGAAGAATTTACTTTGTACTAATCAATCGGGGTACGAACCTGCGGATAACTGTAACACGATAATGCTTACAGTGTTAGAGGGCATTCGCTTGAGGCACGACAAGGGGAGTTGACTTTTCTTGTAACGATTGATTTTTCTAAAGCTATCGATCACCAGCTACTATTGCGAAAGCTTGAATATTATTATACCCTACACCAAGGTTTCATTAAGTTTGTGCGAACATATGTAAGACGTAGGAGTGCTTAAACTAGCCCCATCTTTTGTTATATCACTCGATTCGGTATCAAAGCACGACTGTCCACCAAATTTCGTCAAAATATCTCAAAAATTTGTAGCTTGAACTTAAAAGACAAGAATGGAAGACAAACAGAAGACAGACGGACCGATATGGGGCTACCTCTAAGCCCTTTTGGGTGTTACAGCTGTCCGCACATACTTATATACCCTTGTAATATACCCTTGTATCGCAAATGGTGTTAGGTATAGAAAGCTGGATAGTTATTAAATTTTCCATGTTACACCTTATAGTGTATCTGACGCGCACTCTCCTGCATGACAATAAATATAAAAAAAAAAAAAAAAAAATGACTAACCTTGCTTCCAGTTCAGGTGACAGACAGTGCACCAATGAATGACCATTAATGACTATAGCAAAGCCGGTATGATCATCAATTATGACATGATCGCGTGTTGCACTGCCGCCTTTCTCCAAATTATCATACAATTCACTGGTTTCAGCACTTTAAATAAACAATAGAATATAATTTGAAAGATATTATAATAAAATTGAAAAATTAATAAAAGCATTAACACAGAAAAAAAAAAAAAAAAAAACAAAAAGGACAAACTGGGAAAACAATGAAAAAATGAGTGATAAGCAGCACAAGACAAACGCACAAGATAGTGAAACAAAAGATGGAAAAGAAAATTAAATGAATTACGAAAGCCTTCTATAGAAGAGTTAATCAAAAAAAAAAATAAAAAAATTTAATTATTAATAACCTTTAATGATAAAAACACGAAAAAAAAATTGCTTTTACAGATAAACACATATATGGAAAACTAAGCTCTTCAGTCACATTATAAGGTGTTTTTTTTTACTTTTGTTAAACAGAGGAAAACCATTGAAATGTAAAGCACATAGCGACTACATGTTTTCATATATATGATTTTTTTTTTTAGTGAATGCATAATGTTAAAATACGAATAAATGTTTACAAACTATTGACGCTATTGCTTGAGAAATGAGTTTTAATAAAACAACAACAATAACAACAACCAAAAACGCAATATGTACAGATAAGTATAATGTATGTAAAAAAAAAAAAAAGAACAAAATAACAAAATTATATAATATAAAAAAAATTATTTTAAATTGATTACATTACGGGCGAAACAAGTACCAATAGAGGGGGAAGAATCATCCTCTGCATCACAACTGAATGATCAATTAATTTTATAAAAATTATATGGATTTCTCTTTTTCCCTCTCTTTCTTTCTTTCTTTCTTTCTTTCTTTATTTCTCTCTCTCTCTCGATCTGTTTCTATGTATCTTTCTTACAGTGATTCAAAGAAAGTGATTAAACTAATTAAATAGAAGCGAGAAAATTGGAAATTAAGCCAACCAAAGAATAAAAAAAAAAAAATAGAAAACATTTTGTGTTATTTACCACAATAATTATTACAAATCAAGTCATAGAGGCGCACGAACGCGTAAGATATCCAATTTAATTAGCATGATTTCAATAAACAAACAGAAGGCCATTAAAATACCTTTACTAGTTTTTGAAAGTTTTTGAAAGAGATTTGAGGATCTTCCGAAATATCAAAGGGGCAACATCTCGTTATACACTTTACATTCAGAGTGCCTCCTAGAAGCGATTTTCACAACATTTCTTAAATATCTACATATTAAGAGGAGAAATGAGAATTGCATTCACTTTACATCAAGCTTTCGTTCCTCCATCACGAACAAATAAAAAGGAAATTTAGTCAAATTATTTGGCAATGGACGTTGTGGCCGCCGATTGATATGTCTTTGTTGCGGTGTAATGGGCTCATAATACATAACGGCGTGCTAAATTTTGTCGTTCTATTTGGAATGAACAAGAACGTGTATAGCATAAGCCATGGGGGATAGGCGGGATATTTGAAAATTCCGTATCAATCACACATTTTTTGCTGTTCGTTCCTCCAGCCGTAAAATACACGGTTGAACAGTAAAACTTTACGCATTCTTGCTTGAACGAAGCTAAAATACAAACAACAACTAGATGTACTATAACATATATATAATGGTGCGACCCGAACCATTTTCAACAGCATTCGTTTCGCGGCGGGTGGTCAAAGCAGTTCGGTGTCAAATTTCATGAGAATATCTCAAAACTTGCGGCGTGTAGATTGGACACTAGAAAATAAGACAGACGGACAGCCAAAAGGTTTATACCGATGCAAAATGTGATTCCGAATCGATTGGTATAATAAAAGGTGGACTTGTTTCTAGTCCTTCTGGCCGTTGCATACATGTGCACAAACTTAATATACCCTTGTAAAACAAGGTGGTGTAGGATGTAATGAAGACATTCAATGCCATCATTCATTTTGAAAGAATCTCGTGAAAGAATTGCGTGTTTCAACATTTCTGCTTTATCAAGACTTTTGATTCTATAGCATATATTAATTTCGAAATGTAGTTTAAATGCTTATTAGGGCTTATGGGGTATGCTCTTGATGGCCTCATTAAGAAAATTATATAATATATTATATAATATATTATATAGTAATCGGTCAAAGGACACTTTCTTTTGCAAATTTGTAAACAATATTTTCGTCATTGCGAACGGGAGAATGTTTACCACAGATACTATAGATATATGGTTGCGTAGACGGACAGATGGACAGATTAATCGACGGACACGCTTGAAACTCGCCAGGATTTTATATATTTTATGGGCTTTCTGAAGCTTGCTTCAGGCGTCACAAAGGTATTGAAGCAGGAAATTATATTGTGATACACTATAATATATAGTAGTATTTAGTATATTGAGTAGATATGATCAATTTTTTCGATATTTGTATTATTATAGTACTATAGTATCGGTCCTAGAAGGCACGTTCAAATTTTTGCAGATTTATCTGCTGTAGCTTAGGAGTAATGGGTGAAAAAGTAATTTTTATACCTCTTGAAAGTGTTCTCAGTTTACATAGTAGACTGAATCCTTTCACTGATTTGATCCATTTTTCATATCAACTTGCGTGCAAGAACTTGCATTGTTTCTACCCAACTTTGAAGATGATAGCGTCATTTTTGCGGCCAGACGAATGTTTACAACAAAAATTCCATAGAGAGATAGGCGGCGGCGGGACGGAAATGTTAAAATCGATTCAGAATTTGATGCTGCTTAGAATAATATTTGTTGTCTGGGCAGGCTGTCTGAAGCATCCTTCTGAGCGCTGCAAACGTTTTGACAAAGTTAAAAATCGTGCATCTTCCGAGATTTGGTTTTTTTCCCCCTTTTTTCCCTTTTTCTCTGTCGTAAACGGCACTTGTTAAAAGGCAACGGAAAAGTGCAAAGGGTTTGGTCTGAGTATACGAGAATACGATTTCTTTCTATAAAGATGATATCGTAAATATTTTTGCTATAATAAAAAAAAAGTAAGTTTCCTACAAAGTTTACCATACACTAATACTAATCAAATTGGATACTTTGCGTCATGTTTAAATGTGTGAAACGATTAAAAATAAAAGTATAATTGAATGGAGAATACAATTAAAATTCTAGGCCCTTCTTTTAAAATACATTTCTAGCAATTATTTACCAACAAAAAATTTCATAAAAAAACAAAAAAAAAAATTAAAAAAAGGAGGAAGATTTTGAAAGTATTAGAGAGGTTTTTAAGTTAAAGATTTTTTTTTTTTTTTTTTTGTTTTCATTTAAATCTATTTTCTAAGAATTATCTGGTAAGAAGTGATGATATTGTTTCCCTCTACCTGTCTGGTTCGCCCTTATTACGTTTATTAGTGTCATCATCAGCCCACCTAAAGGTAACAACTGAAACTGCCGGCGGTGATGTAGACAGCAAAGACGGACCTTCCGAACTATATCTAGTTCCATTCAAACTAAGCGATGGACGGTCGTAATCTGTGATCGAAAGAAACAATAAAATCTCGTTAAAAAGGCGAATGATGCTAAAAAAAGAAAACAAACAAACAAAAAAAAAAATAAATAAATAAATTACTTACGTGATGGCCTGAAACGATTAACTATTCGTATCGATTCTCTGAAGTGCTTTAATTGCAAGTCGACCTCATACAGGGTAGTACCATCAACAATAAAAACATCGGCCAAATCGTCGGTAAGTAATTGACATGAATAACCAATATTAATGGCGGTCTCTGCAGAACGATATGAATTGTAAAATTGATGATGAAAGAAAATTACAAAAAAAAAAAAAAAAAGGCGACATTTCCTATAAATAAATAACCTTGCTTATCGCCGGTGAGAACCCATATTTTAATGCCAGCCATTTGCAGATTAGCTATAGTTTGAGGTACGCCATCTTGCAGTTTGTCTTCAATGGCAGTCACACCAATTAATGCCAGCTCGCTTTCCACTTCTTCATAAAGGGCATTCAGTTTTTCTTCACGGTTGTCGAGCGATGTCGAGACTTCGAAGTGCCGTCCACACCATGACTCGTAGAATTCTAATGTTAAAATTCTTTCCGCCAAAACTAACGTTCGTAAACCTTCGCCAGCGAATTTCTTTTGTTTTTGTCATTTTTAAAGAGCATAGTTAACATTAGTTAGTCAAAAAAAAAAAAAAAAATTAAATGCAAATTTATGACGAATATTCATCATACATACGTTCAAATGGTCCTGAGTACGTGACTTTACTTCAGTTTGACTAGAACTTAACCTATCGTAAATCACACTGTCAGCACCCTTACAATATAATATAATGCGATCAGCTTGCCGTAATATCACCGACATTCGTTTTCGTACATTATTAAAATCCAAAATGTGCAACAGTTCATATTCCTAAAAGAATTCATTTTATTTATTTTTCTTTTAATTGAATAAATTGAAGTAAAAATTATTTCGAGACTAATAAAATGAAGAGAACATTACCTCTGTTCTACCCATCACTTCAATAGTAATACTGTTTGGTGTTCGAGAACGGAAAACAAAACCAAAATTTCTCGCCGCTGATACCAAAGCTGACTCATCGGGACTTTGAGCCTGATATTCTAAGCGTCCATCTACATACTCTGGCATTACCGTATGGCATAAGGCCAATAAGCGAAAAAAATTATGCGAATTTTTTTCATCGGAACGCACCGCATCCAAGAGAGTCTTATCATACCAACGGAATTCCGGTTCAAACTCGGGATTCGCTGAAAAATCCACACGCTCTAAAGTCTTCATTGAAAGAGATAAAAATGTAAGAAATTTAGATAAGAAAAGCATTAACAACTTGGTTTTTATACTCAGCTAAGCCGAAAAGTTTTTTTTTTTTTTTTTTAAATGGGGTAAAGAGAGAGAGAGAGAGCTTGAGAGCGACAAAAATTGAGAGAAGAACTGCGCTTAACTATATATAAGAAGGATATGTTTAGTATTATTAAGATGTTAGTTGAATGAATAGCATGTTAATAGCATGACTTTAAAATGTTAAATTCTAATTACGTGTAAATTAATTATTAATCATTAATAATTATGTATATGTATGTGAAAAAGAATGTATAGCATATATTAATATATGTAAGTAGATAAGTAGATAAGCAGCGACCAAGAAATACCAAAGCGTTTATAAAATATTGAAAATAATTGGACATTAAAACGAATCTTACGCATCGCATCACCATCACCTCAGATAGTGTTTTGCCAATTATGAATATTGTAATAGGCGGTTTAAATGTTACATACGTTCATTATAAACATAATAATAAAGAAGCGTAAACACACTTGTTTGTAAAAGACTATCTGCTCTAAACTCCATACTCCAAGTAGACTTTTCAATGCAAAAAAAAAAAAAAAAAAGAAACAACTTTCCAAATTATGCTTGTCATGAATGATATTAGCCATTCAGGTAGGTAGGTGAGCAGGGTAAATTTCATTTCATTTGGAATTTTGTCCTAAAAATGGGTGAAAATTTTTTGTTGCTTTCAACATTAATACGCATCACTTTGACTATGCAAGTGTGCAGAATGGACGGACAGATTGTTATTATATCGTTCTAGACTGATTGCTTTTGTCTCTTTAATTTATTCTTTTTCCGCTCATTTCATCAGAGATTCAAATTTCATTTCGTTTTGTATAGATTTGTATAAAATGAACAACATTGAAAGACAACATTTCTTTTCATTTTTTTTTTTTTAATTTTGCTTGCATGCACTAACGTCAATTCAATTATTAAGGTCATTATAATCATTCCGCTTAATGAGCGATGAGTTCTATGAAAATTCGAAACACAATACAATATGGGTTACGAGTTATGGCAGTTACGAGTCTTTTGACGAATTTGCAGAACTTTGCCTGCCTTCAATTTGGGCCGTAAAAGGATTCTTGAATAATATTTTTGGTCCGAAGGACGCTACCAAACAAAATCTCATAATAATTTCAGCATTTTAATTGACATTCTCGCGCCTAGTTATTATGTGCGTTTGTTTAAGATGACAGAGAATAACACAAAACACAAAAACTTGAAAGATTTCACTTGTCTTTGCTTGACTATGCTTTAGCATAATGTTTTTAAGGGGGTTAACGTTCCGTTACTTATAGCTTGCTTATGCAGGAACGAAATGAAAAATGCATTTTGACGAGATAATAACGAAGAATAGGTTGAATCGGCAAGCAGCCGATGCGATTGAAACTTTTAATATTAATCGAAATAAAAAAGTTATAAACGAACGTGGTCGAATCTTTCATATCCACTACCATTCTTCAAGATGAACAAAGGAAACAAATTACAGTTCAATACTCTATGATACTGGATGGCCATTGTCGATTTTTTTGCTCAGGTATTTGTAAAATGATCGCCTATAGATGACACAACAAGTGTAAACAATCTATTAGGGCAAGGCCTATCTATTAAATACCGTACACCATTTCGCTTAACCACTTAACTGTGTCGACCTCTGTCGTAAACTCGTTGAACGCAGAATATGCGTAATATAAAATTCGGTTGTTATGGAACGAGTTGAGTATAATTTATAGTGATAAAATCCGACAAGGACAGATGGACGGATCACAATGGGTATATTCGTTGTATACAGTTAACGTATTATTACAATCATTCATATAAATTATGCTTTAAATGCTTTAAATGCTTTAAATGGCGGAGAAAGCGATTCGATTGAAATCAATCGCGAACGTTTTAGTCCAAGTAGCCTATGTTTGTTCGTTTGTTTGTTGGCCTATTGAATTTCATCAAAGTATCTCAGCAAACAAGAGGGGTAGACAAACTTAGATCGATTCAAGTTCATCCGGACATTGTGGACATCCGCACCAACTGAATATGGCCTTAAAGTACATAACCTATAGGATAACATTGCTCTTGATATTTGTGCATGTGTCCATGAGTAATAAGCTCATTATTATTTGGTTTTGGAAATATATAGTTTCTTCATTAATTTATGTTGCGTTGTAGGAATGGCTTTTAGGTCAAAATTTAAAAGGAATAGTTGCATTTTTGCGACTAAGCAAATATTTATCACACACATGACATAGATGGATGGACGAACATGCGTAACGGTAATACTTATCTATATCCTATACTTTGTATGGTCTCTAACTATTCCTTCTGAATGTTGCAAATACCCCGACAAAATGAATAGATTCTGCACATGGATATAATGAATGAATGAATGAATTTTTCGTTTGATCCGATTTAAAATGATATTAGAGTTGATTAGAGGCAACAATTAATTTGAAAATGGCATTTTCGGGTCAAGCAGCTCTACGTTCGTTTACCAATATTTTTTTTGTAAAGCAATTCTAGAAATTGCTTAGCATATTATGTTTCTTGCATTATTATTGTTATTGTTGTTGCATTATTAAATTGCTATACCTATGCGCTATAAAATAGCAATTTTACGATAAAAAGCTGAAAACAAACATTAATACAAACTTAAAAGATAACACAAAAACTAGCGAAAACACTGTAAGTAAAAGTATTGTGAGATTTCTGGAAAATCGTGTAACAAAGGTGCATAACAAAGACTGGCTATCAACCTTTTTCTTTCTTTTTTTTTAATCTATTTAACAAAAAAATTCACAAACATGTTTACATGTATTTAGATATAAACGAATAAACAAACAAACAAAGAAACAATCAAAAATTGTGTAAGGAGAAAGAAAAAAAAAAAAAAAAGAGTACAGAGTTTGCTTCTGATTTACGGTGATGAGTGTGATGCATGGAAAACAACAGCAATAACAACAAAACACATGCATACGTGCACTCTCCGTTTAGGGCTAGTATTCCAATTGTGAGCAGTGCTTGGATTAGTGGTGGTGGTGGTGGTGGCGGTTGTGGACGAGGTGAAGGTCGAGCATGTATTCTCTTAGCAACTGTTCGGTGTGGTAGTGGCTGTGACGGTGACGGTGGCGTTGGCGGTGGCGATGGCGGTGGTGCTAGTAGTGCTAGTAGTGCTAGTGGTGCTTATTGTAGCTGTAGTGATGTATTCATATATATTTATATTATTATCATAAATGCAACTATTTGTTGTTGTCGTAGCGTTGAGTTTTTTAGTGCAAACTAATGTAGGTGTCATTAGTTCATGGCTATCATAGTAGGCCTCTCGATCTTTGCTAATGTGTTTGCTGTTGTACTCGCTATCCTCGCTTACAGAGGCAGAACAAAAGTGTGCACAAAAATTCGAACAACCTGCGGTACGTAAAACGTTTGTATGGCTATTGCTATTGCTATTGCTATTGTTCTTATTCTTGTTCTTATTATTGTTGGTGATAGTGTGGTTATGATTATTCGTTTTTGAACATTTTTGCAAGTGTGTAACAACAGTGATTTTATCCTTAGATAAGGGTGTGGCGGGTGCAAGCGTGGTTATGGCTACGGCTGTATTTATGGCTGAGCCATTATTATTATACAAAGCCGACTGTTGTTGTTGTTGGTATCTTATGCCCGTTTGCTGTTGTTGTTGTTGTTGTTGTTTTTTTTTAATATGATTGGCATTAGTGAATGCGGCTGTAGTGTGTTCTTGATCTAATTCTTGATGATTGTAGTGCTTTGTTTTGATTTTCGAGTGATTTACTGAAATCACTGAACTATTTACGTTGACTACTTCACCCAGTATCATTACTTTGTCACTGCTATTCGATAGCGTTGACGCTTGCCTTCGTATCTTCGGCTTACAAGTAAAAACCTCCGTGGCAATAGTCGCTTCGGCATTAACAGCCACAGTCGTTCTGTTACAAATAAGCGTTGACTCACAATTCTTTGGATAGGAATTGTCGGCATATTTGACACGTTTTAATTTTGAATTGCATGGAATACTCGCGTCCAAATCCGGGAGAGCTGGCAAAGCATTGTTCAGCTTGGTACTCATTGGCGGTGGTTTCAAATATAATTCATTTATTTTCCCAGATAGCGGTGTTATAGGTGTGGTATTCGTGCTCTCGCTATCGCTGCCTTTATTCATACCTGCTAATAATAGGGGTGAAGAAGGCGGTGGTGGTGGTGGTGGTGGTGATGGTGGTGGTGGCCCCATTTCCGGCGGCGGCGGTGGCGGCGGTGGTGGTGACGTTGTCAAATTGGAAGACTCTGCATTTATGTGATAGTGTACATCAGCCGTATGCAGCATTATCGTTGCTGCTTCCGTACCTAATTTATTTTGAGGTGTTGTGCCATTGTTGTTGCTATTCTTTTTATATTGACATTGTTTCTACAACGATCAAATCAAGGATTAAAGATAGAGATAGTGAGAGAGAGAGAGAGAGATAGAGAGATAGAGAGAGAGAGAGAGAGTAATGAGTTAAAAACAAGTTAACTCCCTAAAACTAGTGGAGCATATACACGCACACATCGAGATTGAGATTTTAGGAAACGAAATGCACACACTCACAAAGAAACAAAAGGCGCGAAACATATCTCTACATATTGTAGTCAAAAGTTTTCTGAAATTGAAGCAAAGAGAAGACGCACAACAACAGCTGTTTTGATTGTTTAACGAGTCACAAAACAAACAACACATGTAGATTACACTCAAAACAATCTTAAAAGTCTTATTATAAATGGTCCAAGTATTTATTTGCTATCTTCTTTATAAGTCTCAGCGAATACTTACGCACACATACACACACACAGAGAAAGAGAGAGAGGGAGAGAGGGAGAGAGGGAGAAAGAGAGAGAGAGAGAGAAAAGAAAAGACGTCTTTTCATAGTTTTCATAACGATTAAGAAGACGATTGATTACTTGTCTCTTGGAAAACTTTTGACTGAAATATGACAAACAATGTTGAAACTAAATAATAAACGTGCTTATGTAACATACGGTGCAGCATTAACCGGAACCACTATAATAATCGAATTTATCGGAATCTGTAGAAAAATTCATAACATAGAGAATTTTATGAACGAATGCGAAAGTTTGTGTAAAACAGGGGTTTTTCCTATTTTTTTTTTCGTAAAAAAAAAAAAAAAATTGTTAAAATGTTACGTTAGTAATGATAAAATAAACAAAATAGAGAAAAAGGATTTCTTTTATTTTTAATATTGATTTAAAAACCTTTAAAACCAAAAGTCATACCAAATTAAGAATTTCATAGATGTTTACATATATGTAAATATATAAGTATGCAAAAAAATCGTATATAGTTTCGTATATATTTAATTATTATTTATATTTGAAGCGCAACGTATGTTAAAAATCATTTTATATGAGGTAAGATTTTATTATTAATGCATTTAAGAATTCGTTTGCTTTTAACTTTCAGAACCAGAAACTTCAGAAGCATTAACTTGTGGTTATTAGTTTAAAATATATTATGCTATTTTTTTTTTTTTTTTTTTTTTTTTTTTTTTTTTCAACTTACATCAGTTATCTCGATAACCTCACCGGTACGCAAATCAATAACATCGCCATAGGTACGACCATTAATACTGCATTTATTAAATGTCATAATATTTTGAGTTAAAGTACCGGTCTTATCCGAGAATATATATTGAATTTGGCCAAGTTCTTCATTTAATGTAGTGGTACGAGCTTTGGCATGTGTTTTTGTGGGTTCGTAGTACATTTCCTCATCCCAGTTAATCAAGAAGGATTGAACGAAACGTATAACCTGTAAAATTTCCATTATATCATCATTAGAAGCAAAATATAAAACAAAAAAAAAAAAAAAAAAAAAAAAAAAACGAAAAAAATATGTTATATAATTCTCTTACCTCTACTGAAACGTAGAGTGATATTGGCACAACAGTATTCAACACAATAGCATAAGAAAAGAAAACTAGAAAGCCTATCACTGTAGCACCTTGCATTACATTTTTTGGTATTATATTCTCCCAGGGTAAATAAACCTACAAATTAAACAAAAAAAAAAAAAAAAAAAAAATTAATAAATACATATATACATTATAATCAAACTAGATACGAACTTATTTAAAGCAGTCAAGTCAAGAACATTTGAGACATTTTTCAATTTTTTTTTAATTTTTGCAATTTGGAGGACTCAAAACTCTCTGATTGCAAACTTTAAAAATACTAAAAAATGTACAAAAATATATAATTTTGATGTGTATTTAAGGATGACACGATTATTATTGTGTCACTGACGCTCACCGATAGTTAAACCAAGCCATAATAGCCAGTCAATTGTGTCGATCTCTCTACAGGTTATACGAAAAAGTATCGCTATGACGAATATACTCGAGAGATTAAATAGTGTGAGAATGGAATAATTTGACAGAATGACAGACACACATTCTCAAATACATGATTATAACAAATACACTTTCAAAATCTCACAACGATGTATGGATGGATCATAACGTTCATTATAACGCAAAGTTTTGTATTTTCTTCGCGACCTATACATTCATCATCATACACAGTTAACGGGCCAACTGAACATGTACAAAAATTTTCGAGGTTTAGCAAGACAATAATTCCAAATTGCATGAATTCACAAACTTTCTGAACTATATATAATGGGTTTGTTGATATTTTATACCTAAGTTTAAGCTGAATTGCAAGAAATTGTATATGTGACTGTAAGAAAAATACAAGAATGCATACAAGCGTAGGTGGATAGAGCGACCTGTTTTATACCCATCGGTTCATTTAAGCACATAATAATCGCAAATAGTCCTTTGCACTGTTTGCCAATAATCTTGCTAGCATAAGTTGCGATAGATAAAGCTCGATTGAACATTAAACCTAACCTTTTCGATTATTTCATATTCGATATAACATTTCCAAAAAATTTTTTCAACTTTACGTTAAATTAACAATTAACACTTAAAAGCAAGCAACTACGTTTTTGTAGGCTATGGCCTATCATTAAATACCCTACAGTACTTTGCTTAATACAGTTATCCATAGAGCGATTTTTCAAAATAAGGTGTTATAGGGAACGTGATCCGATCTGGATCATGTCCCATCGGCGTTCTTCCTTGGGCCAAAAAAGATCGATGTAACCTGTATTTCATTAAAATATCGCACAAATTTGCGATCTATAGGGTGAATATTAGGAAATGAAACGGACAGATGGACAGACAAGCTTAGATCGATACAAAAATCTATTCTGAATCGTTCGGTATAATATGAGGTGGATCTATCTCGAATCTTTGCGGGTGTTGCATGCATCCGCACTTGTACACACACACAGGCGGCTAGCTTAGAAATTCACTGAAAATACCATTGTGGCCATTTGTTGAAATCGTTGCCCACTGCAACTGATGCAGCTCGAAGGAGAACTTCTGGCATTCGCAGCGAACTCATCAGACATAGCGCCTTCTGATTACCACTTGCTCAGTATTTCGTACCTATTTTTCTCAATAAATGCTTTTTTCAAGCGAAAAGTGGTAATCAAAATTAACGCAAACTCGTAATGTATGGGGCCTGTATGTGCAATATTTTATGTTTATATATATCTATTTTGGATGAATGAATGAATGAATTAAGCTGAACAAAAAGGATATAGGATTTGAATTATTTCGACGATTTCCATAGGTGACTGACACTAATATCGCGGCATAATTCATTACAAAAGAAAGTGTGATAAAATGGAGATTAAATAACTAAATCAAATTTTGGATCGATATTAGCATTTAGATGATAAGGTTATGTAATAAATTAATGCTTTGAAATGATCGCTTCGTATCGTGGGATTCCGTATCGGAAAGTTCTTACTTAATATGCGCAATTTCATCTTTTTATCGCAAGACAAGTAAGAAGAACAAGGGAACGCAATGAATTTGCGGCCCTTTTCGATTGTGAGTGTGAAAATGAAATGAAAATTCAAATATGAAAAGTATTACCTGAAAATATTGACCGATCACTCCTTCCCATAAAGCACAGGCAATGGTAAAGAATGCGCAAATCGATAACAAAAATAAAACGATCTGTTAAAAAACAGAAAAATTATTTTAATAATTTTTAATAATAAATCAGAGAAAAGCATAATATATTTAATGCGATAAGCCTTACCCCAATTATGATAAAATTTAACAGTCTATCCACGCCGGTACTCTTGAATTGTGTTTTACCCGAATTTTGCATTAATTTGGTATCTTTGCCGGCAAAGATTACCATACCATAACACCATTGCGTGTTACGCAGTACACAGCCTCTTAATAGAATTTTTTCATTATCTAAAGCAAATCTTTGATTCCGCCAAATCAGGGTGCCTTCAAATTTATTTAAGAGATTATTTGGCTTCTCGCATATAATCTCGCCATTGAAATTCCACAACAGATCATGACGTTGACCCAATTCAATGGTTTCTGTAAGGCATTGCTTACATTTCAGATTCGTTTCGCCATCCAATTCGGCAGTTTCGATAAAACACAAACCATTCGGTTCTGAGGTACTTAGTAATAAAATATCGGCTGCCACGAACTGATTATTATCTAAACGTATCACATCGCCCACCTAAAAATTTTATAAATAATTACAATGTTGTTATCTCGTTTTATGATAAAAGTATTTTTTTAATAAATAAATAAATAATAATAAAAGACGAAGAACGTGAAATTTACCTGAACATCGGACCATTTTTCTTCCATCAATTTTCCATTTCTTAAAGCTTTCGATTTACGATTATTCACCTGAGAATCTGACGTATGACGTTGCTAAAGCGAAATGCGAAAAACGAAAAGCGAAATAAAAACATGATTCTTAAATTTCTCAATCAATAAGACAATATTAATCCAATTTGATGACTCTGAACCTGTATAATGATTATTAACTTTTTCATATTTTCTTTACAATAACGAAACCTTACAATAATATGCACATATAATGTATATGTCTAACTAACTCTCCTATCTACCCATTTATTTATTGGTTAAGTGGCGTTAAATTAAAATCAGCATATAGTCGCGTTTATGCTATGCTATGTATGCGTATATGTTTGTAACTGAAATGTCAATGTCAACAACTCGTAGTTTTTTTTTAATTTTTAATTCATTTATATATTATATTATTTTCTTTTTACATTTGAAGTACCGAGTATCACCTGTTTCGTGTATATGCACTTGCTAGGCTTACAAGTGACTGTTGTTTCATAAAACGTACATTTGAAAAGAATATTTTTGACAGATTTACACCTGATAAGCGAGAAGCACGCAAGGTCCATTGCGAAAACTAAGCAACACTTGCTAGAGTATAAAAGGTAATCTTTGGCTTTAATGGATTTACAGGAATTCAGCGCAAGTATTACTTCAAGTTTAATTAAAATATGATATCGCTTATAATATTGTTAAATTTACTGAAAGTTGGAATAAACTTTTACGATGCAATTCCAACTTTCATTGAATATTCCATTCCGTCAAATCAAGCGGAATGACGATTATTTATATCGTACATCATTTGTGGCATGGGTTATATTGAGTTTGTGCCGATGTATGTGACACGCAGAAAAGCTTAAGATATATCCATTTTTCATTATACCGATTGTCGGTCCGTCGCATGCCAGTTCATGTCAATTTAAGTTCAAGCTACAGGTCGAACGAACACTGTCGAAAATGGTTCAGATAGGTCCACTTTTTCCATCACGGGAAAAAATCTTATGATCAAAATTGGTGCATATCGTAGCAAATTGGGCAAAAAAAAAGGACAGTAAGGAATTTGGGCCATATATTTTATTAAATATTAATACAAGTACTTTATTTAAGTTAGGTGCAGATTTGTTTTGCAAAGTTGTAGACCCTTGTGTTAAATATTTTAACAATCTTCCAGATCTACAGTGTTCACGCAATGTTGCAATATAGAGTTAGTTTGTATGGTGTGGGCGAATTACACCTTAGCTTTCTATCTACATTTCAATTAATTGAAGCAGGCCGGTGAACAGGTAGACGGATGGAAGGACCAATGTCCATTGATCAAACCAGGCTAAATTGATACAGAATCTTACGCTAGTCGAGGACATAGCCACTTTAAGAAGAAGCAGTCGCTGCGTTTGGGAACAACTGTTAATTTTGTTGGCATATCTAGTTGTTCTAGTGACATTAAAGTCACTAAAGAAAGGGAAAAGTGTCCTCTGATTTTAAATAAACCTTTAAAATCCAGAATATTCGATAACATGTCTATCAAAAGTTATTTTTACTTTTTTCTTTTTTTTTTTTTTTTTGATACACGTCGCTCGTCTTAAAACTTATGCGAGAGAGAGAGAGAGAAAGGAAGAGATAGAGACAGAGAGAGAGAGAGAGAGAGAGAGAGAGAGAGACTCGTACTGTTATAGGAATAGGAGTATCAAACATATCGGCATATCACAAATCTTTTTATAATTGTTCTAATATGCATCTTCAATGAATGTGTACTTTATTTAAGACGCTTAGATCATAATTCAATTTACTATTAAGTATAAAACTGAAAAAAGAAAACTCTTTGGCTTTCTAAAGCTCATCAATAAAATCTAATATAAAAAAAAAAACAAAAAAAAAAAAAAACCGATCTGTATCTGTTGAAAATTCCAGATTTTATCACCGAAACCTTAAAGCAAATTTTACGATGTAATATAATCGAGCGTTGAATACAATTCGACGTGCATGCGTTTGCGGTTATTTTAAAAATATATGCATTAATAAAAAACTTACTATGTCATCATAGGCATCTTTAACTGCCGTCAGAGTAAGTACACCGATTAAGGGAATTGCTGTTGTCACTGGCGTTAAAGATGATATGGCGGGTATCAGCTGCAGCACTAACAAACATAGGAAATAGAAGTTGGCAAGACGTTGAAATTGTTCCAAAAGGTTAAAAGGCAAAAAAGTCACTAACGTGTACTTGGACGTTTTAATGTAGTTATCCTAGAAAATGAATAAAATTCAAGTTTATTTTATTTTTATTAAATCACAAAAAAGCAAAAAAAAACAAAAACCAAAAAACGAAAAAAACATTTTAATAAACAAGAGAACACCACATACAACACCTCATTTATAAACAACTCTTCGAAGTGAATGTGATGACCTAAAAAATAGAAGGAAACAACCACAACACAATGCCACTGACATAGAGGTTAAGTATTTAATTATAAAAATATATCAACATTTAATTAAGTTAATGAAATGACTTGAAACTCTCTACAACGAGAAGATGACGTTAATACGTAACAAGCGAAAGAATGAGTAGAACCGAATGTATATTATTGACGAGACATAGTTACTTGTGTTTGTGTGACGCAATGCAAGCAATGAAAAATGATAACATAAACGCTGTAATCGTAGTCACTGAAGTGACACAACATACTCACATCAGCATTATGGTCTTAAGTGAAGAAAGATGGAGCCTTTAGAGCCTTTTTCTTCTCTTTTTTTTTTTTTTAACATATAGACAGAGATATTTACAGTGCCTTACAGAGTCTTACATATATACAAATACATACTACCAACCAAGTAGTGGGTGCAGGTCATATTTTATAAATCAAAAAATTTTATCAAAAATACTTTATAAAAATAATTAATTGCAACGATATAATGATACCGTCATACCGAGATTATTGAAATTCATGAGAAAATGCCAATTTGACGAGAAATAAATTTAATCATTAGACTCATCGCAGCATCGCCTCGAAATTTGGTCAATATTTTTCGCTTTAGGTGGAGACATGACAGTCCAGAAATTCAAGCTTTTATCAGGTTGCAATGCAAAACTACTGGTACTAGGTTTGAAGGTCAATCTATCTCTTCTTTGTAGGCGATGAGTTACAATATTTTCGGCCCAATCAAGCGCGTTTCTGTAATGAACTATGCATGTTTTTTCACCGAAATTTTAGATTGATTTCATTAATCTCTCTATGGAATTTCAGATTAAGGGCATGAAGATAAATTCGATTTTTAACTAGCAAAGACACTTATCATTTCCAATAAGATAACTCTGTTAACGACTTAACAAAGCTCTGTTAAATAATTACAATTAAGATAATCCGCCTGAGTAGGCGAAGGCGAGGAATCTCGACTAGCAAAAGCCAATGGTCGTGGGTTCGAATCTCAAGTGCGGTAGATATTTTTAATAAAAGCCGATAGCCTTAGATGGATGCTAATACTTTTAAGAGTTTAGTCTCAGAATTTATTTCTCTGGCGAAATTAACAACAATAATAATAATAGTAAATACAATTAAGATATAGTCGGATTTGAAAGCCTACTTACTCCTCCCATATTAGAAGAAGGAAAATATTTTTGTGGACGTGAATCTATATAAAGGTACTTGTCGAAGGGGCAAAAAAAATTGAAATTTTTCTTTCGGGAACTATTTTTAACAAATTTTTTACACTTGATATAGGTGAACATAGGTGATATTTTCTAGTTTGGCCACACTAGGGTCTCAAATGTGGACGTTTTTCCATATCCATTTTTCGCTTATATACCAAATTTCAAACATCGTTACAAATAGCTTCCATAAGCAGAATTTGAATTGGTTTAGTTTGTTTGGAAGGTATTTTCATATAGATTCATGAAATGTCCACAAAAATATTTCCTTTTTTTTTTTTTTAATATGGGAGGAGTAGGTTTTCAAATCCGACTATATCTTAATTGTAATTATTTAACAGAGCTGTGTTAAGTCGTTATCAGAGTTTTCTTATTGGAAATGGTAGGTGCCTTTGTTAGTTAAATTCGAATTTATCTTCACACCCTCTTTCAAATTATTATCTGCTAAGGTTTTGCATACTGTTGCTGGGATAAGTAACTCATCAGCCATCGTAGGACGCGGTTTATGCAGATGCCATCACTATTGACGAATTCATAGAACTTGTTGATGGCCTTACACTATCATTAAACAAAATATATGAAAATTCCACGGCATTCCGGTTATTGTTATAGTCTAAAATCTACAATTGCTTCAATGACGCTTTTCTTGTATGGACTTATCAATAAGCATCATCTATGTGGTGATATGTTACGTCAAACTTTCTTTTACAAGCTTTGCGCAAACCTTCTTGATAATACTTAGAAATATCTTAATAGAAGTCTTTGTCTTCCGTAGAGCATGTTGTTGCTGCTTTTGACTCACGCTCATTTTCAAATTGGATTTTTGACCATTAATGAGGTAAATTGGTCAAGTTACGATTTTTTATGCAAATTTTTCTGACCGGGAGCCTTCGTACCCTATACCAGTTCTCAGACTAACAGACGTTCAGGTTATTTCTTCATAATCATCTCTAGTAAGTATGCCTGGAATGAGATAAGCAGTCCACTTTAGGTTACAATACGGATTTCCGCGAAACGTAAGATAACTGTTGGCAATTATCCACCGCTATAGCGGGGATAGCAGGTAAATTTTGAAAAGTTTTCAAAGCACAAAGAGGAGTTGTGGCTGTTTGTCATGGTTTCATTAGCGAGAAATACTAAAAGTGAATCATAGTGAAGCATATCGTAAAAGTTAGCTTTTTAGCGCCAAAGAATTTTCAATAATCCCACCTTTTTGGGTACCAGGAGCAAGAGCAAGAGCATCTACTTCCTCCTACAAGAGGTGTTGTGTTCACATATATATTTCGTTTTGTTTTTAAACCTTCCATTGTTCCATTTCATTGCATTATGATATATATAAATACTTAATATGGAATTTTATATACTTACAGCATATTTGAACTGAGCATTGAATTCTCTATCATTAGCACGTATTCTGCGTTCATTTTCTGCAAAATTGAAGAAAGAAATGAAAATTTATTAGAAAAATGCATGAAAAATAAAAGACTTCAAGGTCGCTTTTCTTGTATCCATAAACCACATTACACATGATTAAAATTAAAGAATACGTAAATATATTAACGCATTTAAATATATAAAATTTGTATAGTTATATGGATCTCGGATCTCGGGATAATATCAAATGCACTAAGCAAAACGGAATTAATTGAAAAATATTTTCTAAAAAAAATTAATTTTGAAAAATATTGTAATAGATTTAATATGAGAAGCGAGGAAGTGAGAGAGCGAGGACGCGAGGAAGCGAGGAAAAACTCCATTTTTATAATAACTGCATCGAAGGAGAAAAGTGCAATAATGTCATTATTCACTTTCTAATATACAGTAAAAGTTCTTCATTCGCGAGGTACAGTCAAACCTGGTTTTGTGCGATTTTTTTTATGCGCTTTTTTTTTGTGCGATTCTTTTTGTGCGATTCTTTTTTTTGTGCGGTATATGAATATGGACACATTGAATTTCGCCGAGAGGTTAGGTCAATCTGAACTGTGTTGGCATCACTTTTTTTGCTATCAGTGTGTATGTACACATTGCAACAGCCATTTTCATACCTATTGCATCAGCCTATTTCATTAGGCATGCTCAATGTTCTTATGCATATATTGCATTGAAAATGTCTCCTTGTTTAAAATTAGAAATTAAAATTTTTTTAAATGTTTCAATGTGTAATTTAATTATTTATTTTGTTTGGAAAGCACTTTCTGGCTATTTCGTAAAGCTTTGACATATTTTCTAAGTGAGACTTTTTTTATGCGGTCCCTATCCACCGCACAAAAACAGGTTTGACTGTATATGTGCCGCGAATACAGAAACCGTGAATACGGAATGGTAAGGAAGCGCGAATAAGATGCTTTTACTGTATTAAAAAGTAAATCATAATAATCGGAGCATAAGTCCAGCATTATTATGGTATATATATTTTTAGTATAATTCTATGTATAGAAAATGTAAATATACATATACATACAAAATATCCATAGATAAGGAAGAGACAGAAGGTGCAAAAACATTCGGTATAATTTCTTTAATACCGAATTATTTCGATTCTGAAACAGTAATAAAGACAAAGGGACCCTTTTTTTACATTCAAGTAAGACATATTAAAATGAAACATTTTCGTTCTTTACTTTGGGGATCTATGATCCATACTCCGTGCATCCGTGATTTCAAAAATTCAAATCAAATCAAATTCATTTCAGTTTTAATGAATGAATATATCCGGCAATAATTCTCGAAATTGACTCATAGACATGCCGTCTAATATTTTTATAAAATGGGGGATTTTAACCGACGCCTGTTAAAACCTTATATCATTTTGATTATTCGATTACGAGCTACTGTCATCTAAGTGGATAAACCAACCAAGTGACAGCCTAAAAAAGAAAGGTTCTTTACCATTTTTTTTTTTTTTTTTTTTCGGCATAAAAGAAAAGATAGTAGAATAATAATATTTGAGGAGGTTATTAAGCATACCTTAAAGTATTAGAAAAGAAAAAAATATTTTGAAAAAATACTAAAAAATGGCAAAGTCACAGCAGCTATTCTTTGGGTAAATCCCACCTCTTTCACTTTACATATGTCAAAATGATGAAGAAGAAGAGCCATTAATATTCCGTTAGGCTTAACAAAATCATGTTTACCCTTTGCTTTACAACACTTTTATCCCCAACGCTTGAAGGAGTTGGTAGCTTGAATAAATTGCAAAGCTTGTATAAGCAACATAAGAACCATCATATTTTCTTAGGCTTTTCAGTGTCGCTTCTTTAAGTAACTTCATTATGGGAATATGTTTATTCCGCCTCGCTTCAACTAGGAAATTTATTGCATATATATATATAAATGAGCAAACAAGCTGTTGCCACAATTTACACACATTTCAGAGAAGGTAACTTAGCCAAAATCAAATTAGTTCGGAATTGATGATACTTTCACATTCAAACCTAACACAAAGGTCCCGAAGACGGTTTCACTTTTCGAAACGAAATAAATGTATGTGTGTGCGTTTTTTAAACACACACGCACATTGAGAAAAAAAAATATGACGACTGTTTACTAACAATGAGAGCTCAAAAGGATCAAAAATCAGAATTCTGGATCGAGGTACTTTCATCTTTAGCTTTTCAATCGATATCTCATGTTGAGTCGAGGAAGAACTTTGTAGCGAATCGCTAAAATTGAAGCACATTTGTGTTATTATATTTTAAGTGAACGGAATGAAACCACCGTCTTTGGCCAGCAAGGAAAGACAAAGAGAGAGAGAGAGAGAGAGAGAGAGAGAGAGAGAGAGAGAGAGAGAAAGAGTGCGAGCGAGAAAGAATTTGCTTTGACTTTTCCATAATGGAATACGAGTCTTCCTGAATTCTTTACCTCAATTAAGAATTTTAACTGTCTCAGCTGAGGAGTGGGATAGAAAGTGAAATCAATAGTGATGTGAAGTTTTGCTATCGTTCATGTGACTTCACCTACGATCTGCTAGCCCATTACTTTCATACATGGCTTGCCCTTCAACGGCAGTCTTCTGACGTTCCACTAGCAGTTCGCAAATGGAACTTGAATTCTTCAAATTTTCGAATTGTTAATTGGTGTGACAACCAAGCTAGAATCCTAGCTTCTTTTTGTATTCACATTCGCATACGTAGATAGCTTAGAGTATTGGTTTTTATCAATGCTTAGTTCCACAGCTATGTCATAAAATCGATTTTTTGAAGTCTTTCATCGACTTTATCAACAGTTGTCCGACCAAAGAGACGGTTGGAGCGGGCATTTGTAAAATATAAAGAACTTTCTCAAAGCTTTGGCTGACTTTCGAGAAATACAGTTCCTTTCGATGTCATAATATTTTATTTTTTTAATTATCTATGGGCCGACACCACCACCCACGACCATCGGTATGGGGCGGCTTGCCAAAGTTACCTAACCCTAAAGTCGTCACGTATTGTCGAAACGTCATGAACTTTTTCCTTGATCTCTTCACATTGAAAGGTTTCTCTATTCGATCTCCATAATATATCGTAAGTCACTTTAAAGTTCTTCGTTGACTTTTTTAGGTAAAATTTTTATACATTTTAATTATATTGTTTGCTTAGTCATTTAAAATGTTTTAATACCATTGCTTGTACCTGAAAAATAATAGGAACTGCGTCTTCGTCGTATCTGCGAAAGGCGTCTCATGCCTTTCGGCTTGGCTTCGGGTGCTGAACTGAGCCTATCGTCGGCCGTTTCATTTGGAAAACTTTCGAAGCCTAGATTAGGATTTAAAGATTTTCGTGTTCCGACACTTGTACTGGCTGCTGTACTATAACTACTTAATGTCGACTGCTGGGCGCGTGTAACGTGCTTATGGGTATGATGACAATTATGATCCTTCCACGGTGATACCCAAACCGGGTTTGAAAGCAAATTTCATGTCGTTTTTGGGTAAACTTACTTTATGGAAAAATAATAATTGCCATCATTTTCTCTATCTAAAGGTAATGGACGTTCTGCACTGGTTAATAAAACTTGATCACGCGTATCGACAATTTGTACCGTAGCGTTAGTTGTCGTAGCGCCAGGCAGGTTTGTTTGTTTACCATCATCCGATGACCAAAATGGAACGTCATTGAGTTTAATTTGAGGTTGCGACCGTGCGTGTAATTGTATTTCTCCCGTTTGGGCCAGAGTCGCTAAACTATAGAGACTTTCACTGTGTGCTTTACTGCGACGACGCTTTTTGGAATTACTGCGCGGTAATACTGCAGCTACATCTGGTATTGTTTGATTGTCCTGGGAGGGGGGCGAAGTTGTGAGTATTGTGGTGGTAGAATTGGCAATTGTTGTTGGCTCAGGTTTCGCCAATGTAGCAGAGGCCCCCAAGCTGGCAGTGTTGATGTCACCGGCAACATTATCCTCTTCCGTATTATCACTAGTAATAACTAAACTACGACGTCTACACAAACGATTTGAGCCGAAATGAAACCAGCGCTGTTGCCTGCCGGCTGATGCCTCCGCGTGATTATCGCTTCGTAGAGGTTGCAATGTATTATCGGATGAGTCTTTTGGCTTGGAGATCGCCGATTTTTTGCGAATCTTTTTAGTCTGGTAACATAGATCGTCCTCTTGCGTATCATGATGACTTACGGTTGGCCCACGGAGCACTTCTAATTCCAAAGTATCCGGTCGCCTTTTATTTCCGAGGGGCATTTCATCAACACTTCCATGTAATTAAAATTTCTTCTTTTTTTTATTTTTTTTTTTTTGTTTTTATTTTTTTTTCAATTATTTTTATTGAATGTTTCGCTAAGGTATAACGAGAATTTCTCTAAAGATATTAAAGATATTTCCAAGATTTGATTATTTTATTAATTTATTTAGCTTTATCTATATAATTACATATAATAGAATTATCATTTAATTATATATAACATTATAATGTCGACGAATTCGTTCAATGGGATAGCTTTTCTAATTGTTTAGTCGACCGTTTAAAAAAAAAAAAAAACAAACCAAGAAAACGTACGAGCAAAAGTAAACACGAGCGCGCGTTATAGTTTGTTTGGTTGGCGGTTGATTTAATTAAACGCCATGACAATGAATTGTTTGTTGGCAATGATAGATATGCTGTCATTAAGAGAGATGCTTTATCATATTATTTAAGATAAGAGAAAAAGAATAGCAAAGAAATGAAAAAAAAAAAAAACCCTTGCATTTCTAGAAACACCGTCATGTCATCATCATCATCATCATCATCATCATCATCATCATCATCATTATCATCATCATCACCATCGTCACTATTTTATTATCATTTTATTTTTTCACTATTTCGCTCCTAATTAATTAAGAACTGAGGGATCGCATGCTCGCTCATGATTAATTGGACCGCTATTCGATGAAAACATGCCTATTATCTACATCTTGTGCATCATACTTTTATTAATGCATTTAATGCTACAATAACGCACCATATCTGAGATGGATGGTGGAGAGAGAGACGTTGTTTCTTCTCCCCATAATGTGTTGATAGTAAATTTTTCTTTCCATTTTCCATTGCCTTCATTTTTGCTTTAATTTTCTTCTTTTCTTCATTTTGATTTCATTTTATTTTTAATAAATGCTTTTCGGCAGTTCACTCGAAAAGTTCATTCATTTCATTGCATTTCATAAGAAATACTGGTCAAATGTGAATAACCGTTGTTGTCGCAATAGTAACCTCTTTGTTGAACTCTCTTGTACACGATATTGTTTCATGTGTTTTGTGTTGATAGACTTGACAATTTTTAATGAAAATTGATACACCTTGGCTAGTATCCAAGAACGATAGATAAACTTATGTGAAAAAAAAAGTACAATTTTTTCTATAAAATTTTTGGCATACGTAAAACTAAACAAGTAAAGAAATTATATTTGCCTTAAGGCATATCGTCTCATACCAATTTTGTATATATGTGGGCATGCTAGAGATGGATGCTTGCTTGTATCATTTTCGCACTTGCTTCCCAACTAGCTATGTCTATATAATATGTTTATAGATTTTCTATGGTTAGTGTCATTATAGGCATATCAGGCCCGAGGCTCACCTCGTAAATGTTTACGCCGAGTCTGCTACGAAATCTCATTTATCAATTATCTGTATATTATAAACCATCTAAGTTTTTAAAGAAAAGTTTCAACAACAACGTCATGCAAGGCAAGGCCGACCATTAAGGCAACCTATATATATATATATATATATATATATAAGGATGTTTGACGAAAATTCTTTTTTTTTTTTTTTTTAGGGCAGACAAGTTGAAGTTTCAATACGTTATGATGAAAGTTAATCAATCCATCATAGTACTTGCCCCCAACCGCAACATATTTTTCACACACACAATTTACAAATGTTGAAACACCACTACACAGCGATGTATTGTTTTGGCGAAAAATGTTGAAATTTGTTGCAAATTTTTCCCATAATAACAATAATAATGATTTTTCAAAATAAGGCGTTATAGGGGAGGTGATCGAAAAAACTGCACCGATCCAAATCATTGTCAATAGCATTCGCAGTCCTTCAGGCCAAAAAACACGTTAATATATCAAATTTCAAGAAAATATCTCGGGAATTGCGACCTGTAGGTTGAATTCACAAATACATGGGAAGACATCAAAAACGAGCAGACAAGACTTATTTTCTGGATATAATAATATGCTGGTATGGCGTATGTCCGCACAAACTGTACCACAAATGGTATAGGGCCTGATCACGGATGACAAACTAATCGAATGTTCAGACAAAGAACTCCCCATACACATACACACACACACACACACACACACACACACATTGAAACTTTTCTACTCGGAATAGTGCATTTGGGAAGAAGAAAAGGCAACAGACAGAATTTTCCAATGACAATGTTTTTTTTTAAAATATCGAATCGAATCATTGTTCGTCGCATCGAGACTAAACTATTTTTATACGCGTAATCAGAAAGCAGAGTATAGGCGTTGCGTTACAAAACTTGCATATATAATATAACAAGATGAGTCATGACCGTCATGTCATATTTGCATTCAGACCTATGTTAACTCATATTCTATTTTATGCATACTTTTCAGTAAACAAGAAGGAAAACTTTCTTCGTCTTGCGACGAATCTTGGATACCCATCGATTTGCTGTTTGAATTAACTTTCACATCAAGATCTGCTGTACACGGCAAGTAGTTGAAGCAAAAAAATTTAAAATTATTTTTTTTATTTTTTTTTTGAAATTGTTTAAGCGTTCTTAGCTGCTGTGGGCGATTGATTCACGATGCACTATGAAGGTTAATTAATGCGCAACGATTCAAAATACATAAAAGAAAAAAAAAAAAAAATGCAATTCCAATATTTTCGTTTATTTCCCAGGACCGACTATCAATCGTATTCTGAGCACATATCACAGAGAAGACGTCATGAGTTGTAGGGTGTTTTTTTTTTATTTATGGTTTGCGTGACTCAAGAAAAACCTCTTTATTTGTTTTAAATAAGTTTCCATTCCCAGACAGGTAGTTCGCTACTAGAGTTAGCTACAAAGTACTAATCCCGGATTATTGAATATATATTTTTGATGAGACTTTTAAGGAAGTTGTTGTCGATAAGCCCTCATCTTCCTTTAGATTGTTTGAAGCTATTATTGCAAATTGTATAGATTGGGCGCGACACATATATTGATTGGAGTTGGAAAGACTTTTTCTTTCTTGGGAACACTTGGAGGAAAGCCAAAAAAACATATATTTTCTTAAGGATGACATATGAATTTTGACTTGAAGCAGCAAATGTTATACGCATTGTAAGTAAAGTCCTGCTTCGCCTTCACTTCATTTCTTATTACCGATGGTGGACCCAATCTCTAAAATAAAATTTTATAATTTCCGTTTCTTGCTCTGCTTCAAGCAATGACTAATTTGACTTTCGATTTATTGTGTAATTTTTACGAAAATAATGTCTCTGTAATCTTTAGGCTAAAATGTCCTCAAATGTCCTCAAATGTCTGTAATGGCCATTTTGGTCCCTGGAGACATGAAGTGTAAATTGCGTGTGTGTGCGTGTGTGTGTGTGTGTGTGTGCTTGACTGCCGTATTTCCTCTATTAGTTAAGTAGAATTCCCATTCTAATATGTGCCATTCCCAACTAATTGTCTCGCGAGCAATTTCAGAAATTTAAGTGATGTCATTACTAACTCCTTATATTTGTTGGCGAAACACACATACGGCCGCAAAATGTATTCATCGCTAAAAGAATTCGCTCTTGTTTGCGATTAACTTTAATCTTAACACGGCTATTAACGAATCATACCACCATGTGACTCTGAGTCACTTATGAGAATCATGGAATTATTGAAAAATTTCATTCTTTTTGTTTATAGCTTGAATATTAATTTCTTTTTCGAGTTCGATTTATATTAAAAAACAAGCAAAAAAAAAAAAAACAAAAGAAGAAAAACTGTAGCAGGACACGGCCACGATACCATTAAAGACCCTATACCATACAGCATTTTATGGAGACAAGGCGGACAGACCGACGACTGATGAGCTTAGACCAAAGCAGAAAATGATTCTGATCGGTATAGTAAAAGGTGCGTCCGTACCAAACTTAAAATAACCATATACAAGAAGTGGTGGCGTACTTTCAAAAGATTGTTTGATGCAAAGGTTGCTTCAACTCGTACTTCGTAAAGAAATTATCAAATGCGATATTGCTGTTGTTATTGTTCTAAAATGCAAAATTCATCATGGCCTCTCTTCTATTGAGTCTGCCTCGTCCAGCCAATGGGATTCATTCCTGATTACGTGAGTATGAGTTAAGTCGTATTTTGTAAAAAGGATTGATTGTCATATCATGACTAACTCCATCCAAATTTACATAATTTTCTTTTTATTTTTATTGTGTTAATGTGTTTTATTGTTATTTATCAATATAAAGCAAAGTAAAAGAAACAACAAGAAATTTTTCTCGAGATGCAATATAAAATAATTGAAAAATTTGTACTCGAAACTTGAAGACGACACATCGTGATAAGATTAAATTATGTGTAAACGAAGCAACATATTTGATACATCATAACGGCACATGTAAGGTGATGGCGACAGATCGTCTAAAGCCACACCAATAGTTACAAAAACCCTTTTAACCTATAGCCCTATAGTGTGTATTGTAACTTATACGTTGTATTTTTTTGCAAACTAACCACGCCCATTTTTGTACAAGAGATTTAAGTGAAATACACACTAGACTTTGTATATAGTAAAGTATATATCAATATATGACTGGCCCATCTAATATACGGGCATAAGAAGAATAATTCCACTGAACCGCCTATAACCAATAAACTATTTTACAATTTGCAAATTTTAATGTAAAGTGAGTTTTATATATTGCCCGCAAGATTGAATATAACGTCTTTTACGTACTTTCCGTACTTTGGCCAACTAAAGCTCTCCCGAATTGAGTTAATTTTTCATAGAAATCAATCGAGTTAATGCAGTTTGTTTCTCTCTTTATATTTTAAGGTGAAAATGATTTCCATTCCCTTCAACTAATAGGACGGGATTTTTAAATGGCTCCAGCTCGAAGTCTCTATGCCAAATTTGAAATGAAAAGTCGCTCGCTATTTTTTGAATTTTTTTTGAAATTTTCAATTTTCTTCTATTGGATACCTTTAGTACTTTTAAGCGAATCGGTTGTAAGCACATCACACCTATTTACAAAGTTCATATATAAAGACCTGAGAAAATTAAATTTTCCATTTCATGGCTTAACGTTAATTACTCAAGAGTTTCGTTCAGCGGATGCTG